CCCATGCTATACATAGATTCAGACCCCCCAGCCTTTATAGGGTTAAAAATGGTTGGTTTATCGTGTTGTGATGTCTGAAGAGTATATTAGTGTTCTTATATTATATATATATATTAGAACTAATGGAAGTATTTAATTATATTTTCTTATTCCAGTCTTTTTACAGTATATTGGACTATAATCAGGTTTATCAGGTTTACAGTATATTGGACTATAATCAGGTTTACCAGGTTTAGTCACATAAACAAACATTTATTGGAGTTTATATTCATTGGAAATAAATAGATATATATCTTAAACCGTATATATCCATCAATCTGATATCAATCAATCTCATATCCATCAATTGATATCCATCAATCTGATATCCATCAATCTGATATCCATCAATCTGATATCCATCAATCTGATATCCATCAATCTGATATCCATCAATATCATATCCATCAATCTGATATCCATTAATATCCATCAGTCTGATATCCATCAATCTGATATCCATCAATCTCATATCCATCAATCTCATATCCATCAATCTCATATCCATCAATCTGATATCCATCAATATCATATCCATCAATCTGATATCCATCAATATCATATCCATCAATCTGATATCCATTAATCTCATATCCATTAATCTCATATCAATCGGATATTTAAGTTTTCTGTTTCTTTGTTTAAATATTAATATTTGAGTAAAATTAAAGAAAAAGTTAAATATTCAGAACTATAGTCTCTGTATAAGACAGCTGTTAGGAGAAAGAATACAGGAGAATAATGGGATTAAATTTTCTAATTTCTTTCATGAATTTAAATTCTTCGAATATTTTGTAAATTTTTTTTTTCTAAGGAATGAGTTTGTATTAAAAGTGGATTATTTTAACCAAGAAAAGATTAGTGGGAGGATTTTAACCAAGAAGAGATTAGTGGGAGGATTTTAACCAAGAAGGGGTTAGTGGATTATTTCAACCAAGAAGGGGTTAGTGGAGGATTTTAACCAAGAAGGGATTAGTGGGAGGGTTTTAACCAAGAAGAGATTAGTGGGAGGGTTTTAACCAAGAAGAGATTAGTGGGAGGGTTTTAACCAAGAAGAGATTAGTGGGAGGGTTTTAACCAAGAAGAGATTAGTGGGAGGGTTTTAACCAAGAAGAGATTAGTGGGAGGGTTTTAACCAAGAAGAGATTAGTGGGAGGGTTTTAACCAAGAAGAGATTAGTGGGAGGGTTTTAACCAAGAAGAGATTAGTGGGAGGGTTTTAACCAAGAAGAGATTAGTGGGAGGGTTTTAACNCGTTAAAGATTGGAGACAGTCTAATATGATATGGGACGCTCTGTATATATGTATTTATTTGTTGTATTTTTGTATCCAATCAACAAGTTAGAACGGGTGGCCCTAATCGGACCTAAACCGTACGCAGAGTCCATTAGCGCCTGATCCAATCAGGGTTTAGTCATGTGTTTGTTGTCTATTCTGAACCAATAGAAATAGTATGGCGGTAACATCTATCTTTTTATCTATCTCATTATCCAATCAGAGATATGAATCCTTTAATCTGCGCTATTGAAACTATTTACTACTATTGAAACTATTTACTACTATTGAAACTATTTACTACTATTGAAACTATTTACTACTATTGAAACTATTTACTACTATTGAAACTCCGGTGCCGTCTGTTTATAGACGGTCATAAAATAAAAAATTGTTTTTTTTAAAAATTGTTTTAAGTCCATAAATAAAAACAGAATATCTCCGAATTATTTTTATGTTATTTTTTAATGATGTTCAAAGAAAATTTGTTAATAATAATATGTTTTATTTTATTTTAGTGTCTCCGAGCCGCCAACAGTACGGCTCTAGTTAACTACGAACATGATAACATTGTTTTCGGTATCTGCTCTTTCCCATTCGTACCGATCGTGGACGGATTGTTTCTCCCGGCCAGCCCTGCCAAACTCCTGGGTTCCGGAGCATTTCCTAGACGGGAGATACTACTTGGAGCAAACCAGGAACTGAACCAGTTCTAGAACTTTTTTTAAACTGGAGATTTTAGGATAATATGTTACTTTATTCCCCATAGGGATGGGATCACACTGTCTTCCCGGTTCATCTTGCCTTAATAATTTTAAATTCGAATATCTGTTTGTGTGCGACCTGAGCTGGGAAATTGTGTGTTGGATTCTTATAATCCTGATCATTTGATCTCGATATCCATTGTGGGCGCTTTTTATTTGAGGACCTATAAAAATTTTCTTCATTTTAAGGGTTTTTCGCTCACAATAACCTTGAGGTAAAAGCCTAAAGGAGTTACGCGCATGCTCACTCTTTGTTTTGTAATTCAACGCGGCATGTGCGTAACTCCTTTGAGCTTCTGCCTCAGGGTTATTGTGAACATAAAACTCCTAAATCTTGAAAGACGACATCTAGAGTTCTATCTGTGTTGTCATTAATCTATGATTAAAATTAATAAACTAGAACTGTTTAGGATGAGGGCTCATATTTCCTTATCTATTACCTTACGGAGATATTTAAACTCAGCGATAACGTAAGACTTTCATACAGTGAACCCATAAAACTGTGGAATAGAAAGACGACCGTTTTACTCGATTTATGATCTTTAATAGTCATTTAAACATGAGCGAAGCAATTGTGGAGTGTACCTAGGCTAATTCCACTAAATAAATGGATTTTCAACCTACTACTGGTAAATCTCTTTGCTTTATAAGAACGTCAAAAATACATACGATTGTTTAAATGTCGTCTTCTTTATTCCACAAATTTATGGATCTCACAGTTTTAAAAAGTATTATCTTTTAAAAAATTTTGGATTTATTTTACGCTTAACATTTGTTCAGATTACGGTATCTCGGGATGAGTTTGACAACGCAGTCTCGGAGCTGAACCTTTACGTGAAACCTATCGGTCTCTCCGCTATTAAGTTCCAATACACTGACTGGATGGACCCGGAGAACTCTAGAAGTAGAGCAAGGAAACCCATCCCAACTTTTACATCTCATTAAACTTGAAGGGTTTTAGTTCTTACCTTTAATTAAATTATGGTAAAGGGTTTTCTATTTAGTTGGAAGGTGGGTTCTTAGTTTCTCTCAGATTTGGTAAATCAAATATCTTTTCAATGGGTTTCATTTCAGAAATTAAGATTTAATCTTAATGTTCGTTGTACCTTTTCAACAAGTTTTGTTTAAAATTTTGTAATAATGTTTTAATTTTAAATTTTAAGGTTTCATCATAAATCAAGAAATAAGGATCTGGGTTTGATCTTAAATCAAGGAACAAGGATCCAGGTTTCATCTTAAATCAAGGAACAAGGATCCAGGTTTTCATTTTAAATCAAGGAACAATAATCCAGGTTTTCATCTCAAATCAAGGATCAAGGATCCAGATTTCATCTTAAATCAAGGATCAAGGATCCAGGTTTCATCTCAAATCAAGGAACAAGGATTAAGGTTTCATCTCAAATCAAGGATCAAGGATCCAGTTTTCATCTTAAATCAAGGAACAAGGATCCAGGTTTTCATCTTAAATCAATTGGAATAATAATCCAGGTTTTCATCTCAAATCAAGGATCAAGGATCTAGGTTTCATCTTAAATCAAGGAACTGTGTAGTTTATTGTTGACAGTGTAGCTCATCATTGGAGAGTTCAATTCCGGTTTTCATGTTCAATATCCTTTTTCTTGTCAATTTCTCGCTTTTGGGTATCTCAGGGTAGCTCTTAGTGATGTCGAGTTCAGTAACTTTGGATAATAGGAAGCTGAGGATAGGTGAGGAGTGGGGTATCAGGATAGGTGAGGAGTGGGGTATCAGGATAGGTGAGGAGTGGGGTATCAGGATAGGTGAGGAGTGGGGTATCAGGAATGCTTGGTTAAACACTGAGTGTATCCATGTTTTCTACTATATTCCCATTTTAAACATAATTTTTAAAAGGTTTTTCCCATTGGAGTCATTATATAATGGGGATTTGCTACTTTTGTACTTCAGGACACAGCTTGCCTCGTCTACAGCAATTTTACTCCGACAGTGTAAAATTCCGGGATTATTGTGCATGGTCACAAACCTCTCAGGATTCTACGTTGTACATTTTCTATTTTCTTGTTTCTGGGGAGAGAGAGGGGAAGAAATGGATAAAGATCCAGTGTTGTTCTCCATTCTCCATTATTTAGGGTTAGGTTAGGTTAAGACACTTTCTGGGCCGAGCGCTGCGGCTAGGACAGGCTAGGGGGCCGAGCGCTGCGGCCACGGGTTAGGTTAAGTTAAGATACTTCCTGTCAGACCCATGTACGGTGTACCGCGTATTCTTAGGAGTTTTATCTATCCCCCCCTCGGGCAAGCTACGCATCATGCCGCGCCGCCATGTTTAATTCCACACAGCGCTCCCCAGCCGCGCATACTGCAGAGCAGACGACCTTACTATTTCAGATTCAAGTAACAACTGCAGATTTAAATCAAAATCAAGGAACTATGATCCAGGTTTTATCCTAAATCATGGAACTATGATCCATGTCTCATCCTATATCAAGGAACTAGGTTCCAGGTTTTCATCTTAAATCATGGGAACTAGATTCTAATCCATCTGACGGTGTTCCATGTTTATGTTGATTAACGTTGGAATAAAGTTATTTCAGGGTTTTGTATTGTTTTGTTGGGACGATATTTGATTTCTTTAAATATTCATGAACTGCTTTGTTTTCATAGTTGTAAAATGTTTAAATAACTTCGGAAGGTTTAGAGACAGCCAGGAGATGGGCCAGAGGGGGGAATGGGGAGGGGGTTAAGGGATGGAATGGGGAGGGAATGGATAAGGGAAGGGGCCGGGAAAAAGTAATGAAAGGGAACCAGGATGAGGGGCAAGGGGAAAATAAAGTAGATGAGATATTTCGAATTAAAACAACCCTTATGTTTAAGTATACAATTAAAAACTGCTCTGGGTGAAAAAGCTATATATTCAGAACTATAATGCCTCTTTCTCTTAAAGCTAAATATTGCTATTTGTGAAAGTTGGTTTGTCGCAGATCGTTGGATAGAATGGTCGGAGACTTTCAGTTTACTTGTCCAGTTCTTCATTTTGCAGAAATATTTGCTGCTAGAGAACCATCCATCAAGTAGGTCTAGCAGGATAAGGTTTAGTAGTAGGGATAAGGTTTAGGAGTAGAGATAAGGTTTAGGAGTAGAGAAAAGGTTTAGGAGTAGGGGTGAGGTTTAGGAGTAGGGGTAAAGTTTAGGAGTGGAGATAAGGTTTAGGGGTAGAGATAAGGTTTAGAAGTAGGGGTAAGGTTTTAGGAGTAGGGCTAAGGTTTAGGAGAAGGTTTAAGGTTTAGGAGTAGAGATAAGGTGTAGGAGTAGAGATAAGGTTTAGGAGTAGAGATAAGGTTTAGGAGTATAAGGTTTAGGAGTAGAGATAAGGTTTAGGAGTAGAGATAAGGTTTAGGAGGAGTAAGGGTAAGGTTTAGGAGTAGAGATAAGGTTTAGGAGTAGAGATAAGGTTTAGGGGTAGAGATAAGGTTTAGAAGTAGGGGTAAGGTTTAGAAGTAGGGATAAGGTTTAGGAGTTGGGATAAGGTTCAGGAGTAGAGATAAGGTTTAGGAGTAGAGATAAGGTTTAGGAGTAGGGGTAAGGTTTAGTAGGTGGGATAAGGTTCAGGAGTAGATTAAGGTTTAGGAGTAGGGATAAGGTTTAGGAATAGGGACATTTATGAGTACGGATAAGGTTTAGGAGTGGGAATAAGGTTTAGGAGTGGGGATATGGTTTAGGAGTGGGAATTATGTTTCGGAGTTGGGATAAGATTAAGGAGTAGGGGTACGGTTTCGGAGTAAGTATAAGGCGTAGGAGTAGGGATAATGTTTAGGAGTAGGTTTAAGATTTTGGAGTGAGGATAAGGTGTAGGAGTAGGGATAAGGAGTAAGAGTAGGGATAAGGTTTAGGAGAAGGTATAAGGTTTAGGAGTGAGGATAAGGTGTAGGAGTAGGGATAAGGTTGAGAAATACGGAAAAGTTAGAGAGGAGTAGGGATAAGGTAAAAAATAAGGATAAAGTTTAGAGGAGTAAGAATAAGGTTCAAAGGTAAAACAAGGTTTAGGAGACACAAGTATATAGTAAGAGTTGGGTCTAGGTGAAGGTACAGGGTTATCAACAAAGGATAAGATTCTATATAGTTCTTTTCCTTACATTTTGCTTCCTTACATTTGAGAACAGCTTCTGTCTTTACCAACCCATTTAGTAACTCGTTACAAACCTATGTTACAAACGGAAGACCAAATCTAACATTCATTCTAACATAATATCATGTTAAGCATGTCGTCTTTTTGGTCTTATTCTTTTTGGGTATCCCTTTACAAAATATGAAAAGTTAACTAATAAGATTATTCTTATTTTCAGTGTTTATGTTTACCACTTCCGACACCGGACAGTTAACTCCCCCTGGCCAATCTGGAGCGGAGTTATGCATGGAGACGAGATTGCATTCGTCTTCGGAGATCCGTTTAGGTTCTATATTTATTATTTAGATTCTAATTTTAACAAAATTCTTTAAATATTTAAATGATATAGCAGCTGCAAATTTCTATTTTTCTAGATTTTCAGATTTTCTAGATTTTCAGATTTTCTAGATTTTCAGATTTTCTAAATTTTCTTCTTGTTGTTCGTGCCTCATCCATCATGTTCTGCTATTTTTAAAAAAGAAAAGAAATTTTTTTGACGCCCCCCTTGCTATTGCTGGGTTTTCAGGTTATTTAACTAATCAAGGGACCCGGGTTCCTTATTTTACTGAACCCGGTATAGTGTATATATTGCTGAAGTGCATTGAATTATATCCGTTTAGGTTCATTTATCTCCAATAGAGGTTTCAGAGCTCAGCTTTTTAAAACATAAACCCGAGTAACCCCCCCCCCCCATGGTTTTATCGACACTGAAGGCTAACCATAAATAAGTCTTTGAAGCTATAGCTTAAACATTTTTCTTTTTCTTCACTTTAACATCTCAGAAATCATTTGTAGTGCTTGATCATAACTACTAATTAGAAGTATATAATTTAAATTACATATTCATGTAGAGTTAGAAGTTTTCTTCGCTGATTAGTGAGTTTTTCATTCGCGGATTACATCCAAAAAACTCATGGAAATTTTAAAACGTTTTTTTTAAATTCCGATTCTAGTGCATTTTATTTCGTTATTTTCAGTTTATTTTTAATAGTTTTTCAGTCTATTTTTAAACTTTCAGTTTATGTTCAATATTTTCAGTTTATTTTCAATATTTTCAGTTTATTTTCAATATTTTTAGTTTATTTTCAATATTTTCAGTTTATTTTCAATATTTATCAATTTATTTTTTATTTTTTTTTCAGCTTATTTTCAATATTTTCAGTACTTTCAATGTTTTCTCAATATTTTCAGTTGATTTTCAATATTTTCAGTACTTTCAATGTTTTCTCCATATTTTCAGTTGATTTTCAATATTTTTAGTTTAGTTTGAATATTTTCAGTTTCTTTTCAATATCTATCAATTTATTTTCCGTATTTGAGTTTAATTTTAATATTTTCGGTTTATTTTCAACATTTATCAATTTTTTAGTTAATTTTCAATATTTTTAATATATTTTTAATTTATTTTCAATATTTTCAGTTTATTTTCAATATTTTCAATATTTTTTCCATATTTTCAGTTGATTTTCAATATATTAGTTTATTTCAATATTTTCGGTTTAATTTTTTATTTGTTTGGTTTAAATATTTTTTCCAATCTATTTTCAATTTTTTCAGTTTATTTTCAATATATAACATTTATTTTTATTGTTTTCTGTTTATTTTTAGTTTATTTTTAATATTTTTATCTTGTGCAGGTTACTCCAATGTTCTCTTCGCCTGAATTTACCAGAAGATAAATGTATTTTCATTCAACAAATGTTTTTCTATTTTTCTATTTCGAACTATTATCTACTGATATAATGATCTACTGGTCTAACTTTGCTGTAACTGGGTGAGTAGTGAGACAAAGCTACATCTTGTTTTGTCAGTTCTTTTGTTTATTATTGTTTTCCTTTGAATGTATTGTTCTTTAATTTATTGTTTTCTGACAGAAATACATACGGATATATTACTAGAACATTCTAATTCACATACAGAGGGACTCATAAAACTGGGGAATAGAAAAACAACATTTATTCAGTCTTATCTGCATTTGATGATGTTATAAAGCAAATTTTTGTAGTACAGGGTGTCCCACGAAACATGGCAGTTCACTCAGGGCCGTAGTAAATTTGAATTCGAACAGGACCTGCCCAGTTTGTACCGACCTGCCAGATAATAGCGTGTACTGACCCGATCCTATGGTACAGTACGTAGCCCTAACCAGACTAACATACGACAGGGGTCAATTTTCTTGGCATAGTCCCGTCGCGTAGGGCTAACTATGACAACTCCCATGGCGCGTTCAGACTTTTACAGTACCCGGCCGAATCCTATGCCTATTTGACCGCCCCCACTGGCTTTGTCCACCGTGAGTTGGTGAATAGTTTTAAATGTCTTCTTCCATAATTTCTTAAGTTCTTTATTACAAAAGAGATTAATTATCATTAATAAGAAGAATACCATGGCAGTCATTTTATAGAAAAGTTTATTTCAAAGTAAAATATTTTTGAGTAAAAGATTTTGCTAACGAAATAAACTGCAAAAAGTCTTTAATATCTAATATTATATGTGGAAGAAGACAATCAAAACCATTCGCCAACTGTCATGTTTCGTGGGACACCCTGTAGTTTGAGCACTAACTTATTCAGTAAGATGAGGCCTGTGTTTCATGCTATTTTTACAGTTTGAAATCGTAAAACGAGTCTTAAAGTCGTCTTCCTATGCCACAGTTTTTTGGGATTTTTAAACTTTTAATGAAATTGTTAATTTTAAAAAGAAGAAATTCCACGCAAATTGAAGTTTCTCTATACAAGTAAACTGCGTATTTGTTCAGCAATGGACAATGTACAATACAAGATTAGACAAGATGGACAAGGTAGAAAATGACAGAATTGAACATTTGATATACTTAATATATTAATGGTGTAACTGTAAGCTATTACCGTTTAAAAACACTGGAGAAATGTTCAAAATTTATCACTTTTCAAACTAAATAACGACGCTATCTTCCACATTATTGATCAAATAATGCGATGCCTTGAAAACTAAACAATTAGTCAAATTAAACAATTTTATTAAACCCTACATACAGACTTATACTAACAGACTTAACCAGAAAAACAGACTTTAAATATGACTGTATACTTTCCAAACTTCGAAAACTTTTTTCAAATTTAAAGTTCTTTGCAACAAACACATCATTCATAAGCACATATGAGATTTCATTTGATCCTGAGCAGCAATTTTTTTCAACCATTTCACGGGGATTAAAAAAGAGTTCCAGGTTGATCGCCTTTCTGTGAGTTTCCCTGTATCTAGTTTGACCTGGAGCTACAGTCCGTAGTCGGACGGATAAAGATACTAGTATGCCTGTATCTAGTTTGAACCTGGAGCTACGGCCCGTAGTCGGACGGATAAAGATACTAGTATCCCTGTATCTAGTTTGAACCTGGAGCTACGGCCCGAAGTCGGACGGATAAAGATACTAGTATGCCTGTATCTAGTTTGAACCTGGAGCTACGGCCCGTAGTCCTGTATCTAGTTTGAACCTGGAGCTACGGCCCGTAGTCGGACGGATAAAGATACTAGTATCCCTGTATCTAGTTTGAACCTGGAGCTAAGGCCCGGAAGTCGGACGGATAAAGAATAATGATCCTTCTCTCAATAATTGTACATTGATGGTTCAATCCATTAATTTCCTTTTGATTTTCCGGGGAAAACCTTCATAATATTAGAATCTTTTATATAATAATAAATATTCATATTGTATCCACTAGAATTCCTCACCTTGTATTTATAAGAAAACCTTTTCAAAAGGAATTTTTTCATGAAGGAAACTTTTCGGGTAGGAAATTTTTTCCTGCACGAAACTTTTCCTGCCCCATACTTTTTCCAGCAAGAAACTTTTCCTGAAGGAAACTTTTACTCCAAGAACCCTAATTTTGTATACTCCAGGAACCCTAATCTTGTATATTCCAGGAACCCTAATCTTGTATAGTACTCCAGGAACCCTTAATCTTGTATACTCCAAGAACCCTAATCTTGTATACTCCAGGAACCCTAATCTTCTATACTCCAAGAACCCTAATCTTGTATCCTACTCCAGGAACCCTAATCTTGTGTACTCCAGGAACCCTAATCTTGTATACTCCAGGAACCCTAATCTTGTATCCTACTCCTGCAACCCTTATCTTGCATACTCCAGCCAAATCCTAATCTTGTATACTCCAGGAACCCTAATCTTGTATCCTACTCCAGGAACCCTAATCTTGTATCCTACTCCAGTAATCCTAATCTTGTATACTCCAGGAACCCTAATCTTGTATCCTACTCCAGGAACCCTAATCTTGTATCCTACTCCAGGAACCCTAATCTTGTATACTCCAGGAACCCTAATCGTGTATCCTTGCCAGGAACCCTAATCATGTATACTCCAGGAACCCTAATCTTGTATCCTACTCCAGGAACCCTAATCTTGTATACTCCAGGAACCCTAATCTTGTATCCTACTCCAGGAACCATAATCTTGTATACTCCAGGAACCCTAATCTTGTATACTCCCAGAAACCTAATCTTGTATCCTACCCCAGGAACTCTAATCTTGTATCCTACTCCAGGAACCCTAATCTTGTATACTCCAGGAACCCTAATCTTGTATCCTACTCCAGGAACCCTAATCTTGTATACTCAAGGAACCTTAATCTTGTATACTCCAGAAACCCTAATCTTGTATCCTACTTCAAGAACCCTAATCTTGTTTACTCCAGGAACCCTAATCTTGTATACTCGAGGAACCCTAATCTTGTATAGTACTCCAGGAACCCTAATATTGTATACTCAAGAAACTTTAATCTTGTATACTCCAGGAACCCTAATCTTGTATCCTACTCCAGGAACCCTAATCTTGTTTAGTACTCCAGGAACCCTTAATCTTGTATACTCCAGGAACCCTAATCTTGTATCCTACTCCACGAACCCTAATCTTGTATACTCCAAGAACCCTAATCTTGTATACTCCAGGAACCCTAATCTTGTATCCTACTCCAGGAACTCTAATCTTGTATACTCCAGGAACCCTAATCTTATTATACTCCAGGAACTCTAATCTTGTATACTCCAGGAACCCTAACCGGTACGGAAACGGGAGCTGGGTACCTCAGCTGGGTGGAGTCTATTGGCCGATCCACTCCCATGGTTCACGTGAGTACCTGGAGATACAAACCACCAGGCATATAAACAAGACCGGACTCAAAACTACCGAATGCGAGTTCTGGAAAAGTTTTCTCCCCCAGCTCTTAAAATCAGGTGAATCTACATTTTTTAAACACCAAATTCACATTTGGTGATTTGTAATAAAAGGAATTGACCTTTCGCAACAAACTCTGATTTTCTAATTCCTATATCTTTGCAACCCAATGTCGTAGACCTTAGATATTTTAAACTATGAATTCAGAATCATAGTATTCAAAATTCACAATCCCATTATTTTTTACAATCAATATTTTTCCAATTATTGTTTTGTTTGATAATTACTTTAATACTTGAAGTGATCATAACAAAAAAAATATGATCGAGAATATTTGAGAAGAAAGAAAAAACTGTTCGAGAGGTATTTCTTTTGAGAGCACCTGGCCATAAACTTTCAGAATTTTGATAAAAATCTCTTTGGAGCTTTTTTCACGGCCAAGACATCTAGATTCTAGAAGCATATAAATTAAAAAAATTTAAACCCGCCATTTAAATTAAGTAAATGAATTGAGTTTTTGCCAAGTTTCTAAACCCAATATCTAACAGAAGTTTGATATATCTAAGTTCTACGACATTGGGTTGCGCAGATATAGGAACTAGAAAATTTGAGTTTGTTGCAAAAATTCAATTACGTTGCAATTTCTTTGCAATATGGTTTTTCTTAACCGCAAATTTTTTTAATTTGCTTTGAAACAAGATATACGCGAAATCTTATTCTTCTTCAAACTGTACAAAACATAATAACACCTTAACACCTGTGTTTCAGCTGAGGAGCCTCTGATTGAGAATAAGTTTGATAAGTGTAGAACGTGTCGGTGTGGTAAGACGGATAAGTCTGGTTCCTCCTCATGTACCACCCATACATCTCTCATAGTTTCAACCCTTCTACTCACCCTACTCTCTACAGTACTAGTCGGAACTATATTATGACTAATGTGGAGGTATATCTTTAACAATACTTCACTAGCTATACAGTCTTCGTCGTAAATATCAATACAATGAAGACGACTTTCTATTTTAATTTTACTGTATAACAAGCTTTCAAACAGCAGATACACATAACATATAAACAAAGAGAAGTTGTCAATTAACAGCTTCTATTTCATCTATATAATAAACAAGACATTCGTATGTATATATATGTTGCATGTAGCCGGCCAAACGGCTGGACCGATTGGGCTGAAATTTTTTGTGGACACTCATGGGTGGCCGGGGGTGTTATAGGCTAATAAAAATTTGAAATTTTTTTCATACTTTTTTTCAAAATTTTTTTTTCAATTTTTATTTTTCACGGGCAACGTGAAAACATATAATTTGAAAAAAAAATTTAGTAAAAAGTCGTCTTCATTGTATAGATATGAACGCCGACCACTGTATGAAAATACACTCACAAGATTAACATTTGATCAATTGAGTAATATATTTTTCAATCGATAAATCAATTAATCAATTGATAGTTCAATTAATTTATCAACCAAAAGAAATTGAATGGAAAGGGGGGTTTATAAATTTACATTAGTTTTAAGTTTTTAGAGAGAGAATGGCATTACTTTGTGAAGATGTTAACACAGTTTGATAAGTTTTTAGAATAATTATCGAAATAAATTGTAGGATAGCAAAAACCAGCTATTTCTAAATTAATAAATAAATAAATAAATTAATTCAATAATGAATAACTGAATCAATTCATCAATTAATAATTGAATCAATTCATCAATTAATAATTGAATCAATTCATCAATTAATAATTGAATCAATTCATCAATTAATAATTGAATCAATTCATCAATAAATAACTAAATCATTACATCAATGAATAACTGAATCAATTCATCAATGAATAACTAAATCAATTTATCAATGAATAACTGAATCAACTCGGTAATGAAAAACTCAATTGATTTATTAATGAATAACTCAATCAATTCAACAATGAATATATCCCTTTGTCGTCTTCAATAAATTGTAGCCGCCATTTTGGAATTTTCTAGAAATTTGATATTTTTCAGGTCCAGACAGCGTCGACAGCTGATGGACTGGAGACGATCCGTCGAATCTCAGGTTGATAGATAGATAGATAGATAGATAGATAGATAGATAGATAGATAGATAGATAGATAGATAGATAGATAGATAGATAGATAGATAGATAGATAGATTAATAGATAAATAGACATGAAATATTGAGAAGGAAAGAATTTCCTAATAAAAAGAATTGGCACCAGAAAATCTACGGAATTCGGTCTCGAATTTCTAAAGCTAAATTTCTTCAAATAGCACGTTGAAGAAAAATTGAATGAAAAATTAATTATATATTGCGAAGTCATCAGAGGCTATTTCTCTAAAAAAAAAAATTCACGAACAGTAAAATTGCAAGAGAATGCTCTTAAAGGGACTGTAAATGAAAAATGAAAAGGGGGGATAGACTGAAACCTGAGAATCTCAGGAGTTAATTGAGACATATAAGAGTTCTATCTGATGTTCCTGTCTCGAGAAATTGATATAAAACTGTGTCAATATTTTACCAAAACGTATATATGTAAGATTTTGTATAAGATTCGTAATATTAAGCAGATCATATTCAACAAATACACAACCAATCTGAAAACAACGATATCCCAGAGGAGTCTGAGAAACTCAAGTTTGCTCCTATTATTATTTAAATTTAATCATTTCTAATTTTTAATAGATATTATTGATAATATTATTTATGCGTCCGGGACATGTCACCAGAACTCCAAGTATTATTTTCACGTGTCTCCGTCTGTATCACGTGACCAGTATACTGCACTGTCATTGGAGGGAGTTTTGGTCACTTGATACGGAAGTTTTGGTTTAATTTTGACACAGTTTTATGTCAATTTCTCGAGACAGGAACATCAGATAGATGTCGAATAGGTATCGTTCAACTCCTGAGATTCTCAGGTTTCAGTCTATACCCCCTATCATTTTGAATGCTCGATTCTCAATGGTATAATTTAAACCTGAGCATTCCATGTTATTCTATCATAAAACTGTATGCTTTTCAATTGGGGCTCTTTGTAAAAATTACTTGCGGATTTATACAACAGAGAAAATGAAATAAATTGGAAGAATTAAAAATTTAATTTTCCCTCAAATATTTGAACTTAATTTCGCGATGAATTACATTCTTATGATATAACCTGAATCTATTTTAAAATTTAAACTTATGTTTGAGCAAAGGATTCAGAAAATCCCGATTTTGTTGAAAATATTGTAAAGTTTGATTAAAGCATAATTCTCTTGAATTATCTCAACTCTGAAAAAATGAAGAATTTTCTCAGAAAATTATAATAACTATTTATAACACTATTATTTTGGTTCGCAGTGTTATAAAGTTTTTGGACAGAACTTTTCACTTTATCGAGAAGGTTCAAGCCTTTTTAGATATAATTTTGTCCCGAGCTTTAGCGAGTGACAAAATATAACTTTCGAGATATAGAGAAAATTGAAGTTCAAAAACTGTTTAGCACGTCATGCCAAAATAATAGTTTTATAGATAATTTTATGAAAAGACTGGATAAGACTGGATAAGACTGGATAAGACTAGATAAGACTGGATAAGACTGGATAAATATGGATAAGAAAAGAAAGATAAAAGATGATGGGAATGGTTCTCTAAAAACCCTGAGCCCGAATTTTAAGACAATGAATCGTCACTAAATCCAATGAATGGACTAAGATAATTTTGTAGATTCCTAAGGTCAGTTTTGTATTGTTATAAACTTTTAAACCTTACATAATAATCTACACAAATGTATACACCCCCAAATGGAAGTTTCATTCAGCGATGATCTGTTTATTTTTGCAACCTGGTGGTATAAACCTTTGATAATATAAACTTTTATAACAAAATTCATATTTTAAAATAATGAAGGTGTTCGACGTCGGGTTGCTAAGAAAATCAGAGTTTGTAACAAAACCTCATTTCCTTTTTTTGTTTTATATAACTACTATTTTAACTTTTAACTGTGGCTTTATCTGTGAGCATCTTCTCTTTGTAAAGATAATAAAACAAAAACAAAAAAAAGTTTGCGGATTTCATAATATTTTTTCGCGCATTTTCAAAATTTTACAAAAATAAAAACCTTTTAAACACAAATTTTGAAAATGTTGATCATTCATAAACCATTCCTGGGGTCACGTGAGGTCCCACACAAAATTTGAACCTGATCGGTTCAGCCGTTTTGGCGTTTATTGGATTACACCCAAACAGACGCCAAGACAAGCTAAATTTATATATAGATACTAAGAATAATTCTTAGAAGAAGATAACAAGAGATTAATACTCTCCAGATACTTTCTTGGTTAGGATAAAAAATATATCTTAAAGGGAGTGTACGCGTAATATTTCTTGGTTAGGATAAGAAATATATCTTAAAGGGAGTGATATTAATACTTACCAGATACTTTCTTGGTTAGGATAAGAAATATATCTTAAAGGGAGTGTACGCGTAATATTTCTTGGTTAGGATAAGAAATATATCTTAAAGGGAGTGATATTAATACTTTCCAGATAATATTTCTTGGTTAGGATAAGAAATATATCTTAAAGGGAGTGTACGCGTAATATTTCTTGGTTAGGATAAGAAATATATCTTAAAGGGAGTGTAGGCGTAATTCTAAGTGAATGCAGAGATGGCATTGTCCGATTCACAACGGTACCCTGAAAGGCTCAGTCTGATTAGACATGTTTGTTTATAATTTTGAAAACTATTTGTGATTTCACTACGAAAGTAAACTATCGGAATTGAACTCTAGAACCCTAGAAAATTTGTCAAGGGTACAGATGTAAATCAGCCATTGCCATCTTTGCACAGAGGGTCACTTGAAATTACGCTCAGATCTCTTTAAGAGAATATCTATCTATTTTTATCCTAGGCTAACTCAGACTGGAGAGAGAATACTCGAGATACATGCGTCCTTCAAGAGACAGGAGAAAATAACATCATGTCAAGTGATATGTAATATAGGATATATACTAGTATCCTCAGCTAGGAACTTTGCTGTTTGATACCCATAGTTAAGATCCTTAGATCTAGATATCCGCAGTGGGCGCTTTTAATTTTGTTTTAGAGAATCTGCTTGATTTCTTGATTTCTTTGTTCTCTCAACTCTCAAATATTGATTAAATTGATCTGTAGATTAACAAAGAGATCAATATCAAGCATTGATCTCGATATCCACAATACAAGAGTGCCCAGCTCTGGTTTCTAAAAACCTCAGAATTTAAATGATTAAGTGAAAAAAATATAAACAAGTCTCAAGGGATCATTCAGAACATGAGACTATAGTGATCCTCTTTCAGAGAAAAGGAAGAAACAATTATACAAATATATTTTGAAGATCGAGTTAAAATTTTGAAGATTAAAATGGAGTGGAAATTTAGTATTGTTAAGTGAAATAAAAAATCTAATCTAGATATAATGGTTCGTCAGTAATATCTCTGAGTGATCAAAAAAAGTGAAGTGATTTAAAAAAAATAATTGTAAAATTCACGATGCTGATAATGTTGTTGTTACATCGTTCCTAGCTATTGTAAATATGTACATTATGTATATTATTATACAAATTATTATTATTATCATTATAATTATAAGTATTTACAATCCTTGTTTTTAAAATAGAATTTACGCATTTAAATACAGTAATAAAGACATGTTTTAACAAATCAGGATTATTATCAAATAATTTTGTTAATATATGGCCCGCGGGACTGAACTTCGTAAATTTTTCGGAATTTAAAGAAAAGCACGCATTGCAACCAGAAATTTATAACGGATTATAAATCTTTTATTTGAGAATGAAAGCGATTATTTGTCAGTGATTTTTAATCTTCGGAAAAACAATGTTTAAAGTCGCAGATTATAAACCGTTTATTTCGTGAAATAACGGATAAATTGTCCGTCAGAGAAACTTCAGATTAATAATCCGTTATTTTGCCAAGTTAAAGATTTTTAATCCGTAAGTTAGTGATTAAGAAATCCTTTAATTTTCAGACTTTTAATACATTATTAAGCGACCGTCCGTTCTGAGTCTGTATCTTTTTAAATAAAGCGATTTTTAATCGTTTTTTCATCAAGATAAGGATACAGTGCGCGGGGCTACATTTTTTGGAATTTAAAGGGACTGTAAGCTTATTTTGAAGTGACACTCACCTCTATAGAGTGGAATGTAACCTTCAAACATTAATCTGAGTAACAAAATCCACAAAAGTGTTTAATTCTAAATATTTCCCTCGTTCTCCTGCAGCAAAAATCTGCAAGTCACAATTTTTTTATTATTATTTTCTTCTTTAAAAAAGTGTATATTTTAAATATTAGAAAATGTTAAAGTTTTCACTAAAGTTGTAAAAATTCCAATATCCGGGTCACGGTAAACTAGAGATCCTGGTTAAAAGTCGAGGGAGTCTTATCTTTAGACCCCGTTTTCGCCCAATAAATGTCGAATTTTTGTATTTGATATTTTATAGTTTTTGCAGAGCTAAAAGTTCTAAATATTTAAGTATACCATGTCTCTTTAAGCTAGTTTTGACAGATATATAATAAGAGACAAAATATGAGGATATTCGGTCTTGTTGATTTTACGTGGAGTGCATATGTACCCTAAAAAACATTTATCTTATCAATAATGTGATATCATCGTTTTCTTACTGAAAATTGTCCCTGTCTTCATTTTTTCTGAAGCAGAAATGCAAAAGTCACTTTTTATAGAAGCCCCCAACTCAAAATACTCAATTTTAAAAAGTAGATGACGGATAGCTCTTGCATTCTTGTTCAGACATAACTAAATGTGCATCAGACATGCCACCCTTTGAATGGATGCTCACTTTAAACTACGTATACAGTCCCTTTAAACTACGTGTAAAGTCCCTTTAAACTACGTAATACGTATACGGTCCCTTTAAACTACGTAAACAGTCCCTTTAAGTTGTATATATTCATATTTCAAATATTTGGCAACAGGGGTGTATATATTTCCCCGGTCCCCCCCCCCCTTTTAGAAAATAATTTTTAAATTCTTTTAGGTTTTTTTTTTCGCTGAATTTGGGAAAAAGGGATTTTTTGGGTTAAAAGTATCAAAAAGAATGAAATAACTGGCCTTTTGATGTCCCCTTCCCCCCCCCCATCATCAAAAATCCTTTTTTATCCGGGGGGGGGGTAATTTGAAAAATATACATCCCTGTTTGACAAATAAATACTGCTGCAGGATTTATGTGACAGAGCATATTTACAAAAAAAGCAAATATATTCAAACTATTATCAATTCAATTCAAGAAAATAAATTTCTCTCACATTTTGTCTTCATCTCTCGCAAAATTGGTCTTGGGAACCCTTGGTAAAGTAAAATTCCCTTAACTTCCCTGTAAAGTAGTTGTAAATAACTATTAATTAACATGTAAAAGAATTGAGCTGAGCTGAAGACCTTTGATACTTTAAACTATAAATTTTGTTGGATCAAATAATCATAGTTTGAAATATCAAAGGTTTACCTCATCAGATAGGAAAGATAATGAGAGTAGACTATTTGAGTTTCTGACAAAAACTAAAAAAAATTAAAGTTAAAAAAACAATTAAAGTAAAAAATCCAAAAATATGAAATGGATAATCCGCAATTACTTTATCACCCTTGAGCGAACAAAAATATATTTACACTATTCTCTCCGGGAGAAAAAGTAAAAAATCAGGGATGAAAAAGGTTAATAATTTTTCCTAATGAATATAGGAGAAAACCATGGGGGCAGGATCTTACCTACCTCTCCGTGTATATTACACTTGGGAAAGTTTGATTAAACAACAAACACGTTAAACTAAAGTAAAGTTTAACATGATTGATTGAACATGAAACACGTTAAACTGAAGTAAAGTTTAACATGATTGATTGAACATGAAACACGTCAAACTAAAGTAAAGTTTAACATGATTGATTGAACATGAAACACGTTAAACTAAAGTAAAGTTAAAACATTATTGATTAAACAAGAAACACGCTAATCTAAAGTATTGAATTGTACCTGGATAGATACAGGTTCAAGAGCAGTTTATGGAGTAGGATATTTACTACAAATACACATTATCCAAAAGTTATAAACGCTAATCCGAGATTTAAGTTAAAAATGAAACCTAAGACTAACAGCTTATGATTTAAAAAGAAAATTTCAAAAATCTTTAAATTTTTCCATGCTTTATGAACGAATGAAAATGAGACGTGAAAAATCGAAAAATTGAAAGATCCGGGAAATCGATTTTCGACTTACGCTCAAATAATTGGTTGTAACAAAAAAAGTATGAGGCCTAAAAATAACTGAATATAGAGATTTCTAATGATACCTTGATTGTAAAGTTTCCTCAGTTACTAATACCCCTACTATACAGTTTTTTCCAGGATACCCTGTACATATATATGAGTGAAGATCAAAAAACGAGTTGAAGTAAACTTCATTTTTTGGTAAAAGTGTTAATCACTGTGGGACTCAGAAGCATCTTTGCACAATTGCCTTAGCTGTGTTTTAACTTTTTTATTCTAAAAAATGGAAATTTTATGATTACATGAAAAAGGCAAACAGAATCCCGTTGAGTACGTGAGTAAGTATAATGTTGTCTTCTATAGAAATAAAAATAAAATCTGTCCATACATAAGCTAGCTATTTCTAGTTATTCTAAAATCTGTCCATACATAAGCTAGCTATTTCTAGTTATTCTAAAATCTGTCCATACATAAGCTAGCTATTTCTAGTTATTCTAAAATCTGTCCATAATAAGCTAGCTATTTCTAGTTATTCTAAAATGCAACGCATTTTTTAACAATAAACTACAAAGTAAAAAACTAAAATTGATTTATTATATCCTTTTAAACACTTGTCGCTTGTCATGCATGCCAGGAGTTAAGAGGCCCCTATGAGGCATTACAGCGCATTGTACATACGTGTACTTACATAATTAGCCAGTGGGGCCTCCGTGTAAAAAGTATTTAAAGTGACAAAGTTATAATAATTTTTCATTCAATTCCAAACATTCAGAGATGAATACTTTACTTTGGACTTTGCTGGCCTCAGGTAATTTAGAGTAAATATTTTTTTTATTTTGAATTCTTTTAATTTTTTTTAATAATAATTTCTCTCATTTGCTGGGGATCAAATTCAGCAAGCTCCATTTTTTTCGAATCTCTTAAATCAAAATCTACACAAATGTTAAGACCCCAAAGAGGAAACTCGAGAGTTTGTTCATATATACTCTTTTAAATTTCGGGCTCTGGTATTTTTGGTTAGTTATATTTGTTAAGATGCCGCTTTTATTTTTAGTTGTAACTTTTTTGGTCCAAACATAGTTTTATTTTTGTCAGTAATATTTTTAATCGTTTTGTAGGTCATTTATACTCTTGGTCTGTTGTATTATTGTCAGTTACATTTTTGACAGTTATATTTTTGGTGTGTTATATTTTTGGTCAATTATATGTTTGTTGGCTATTTTTTGGTCGTTTATATATTTAGTCTGTTATATTTTCAGTCTGTTATATTTTTAGTTTGTTAAATTTATTGTCAGTTATATTTTTAGTCTGTTATATTTTTTGTCCGTTATATTTTTTGTCTGCTATATTTTATGTCTGTTATATTTTTAGTCTGCTATATTTTTAGTCTGTTATATTTTTAGTCTATTATATTTTTAGTCTGTTATATTTTTAGTCTGTTATATTTTTATTCTGTTATATTTTTAGTCTGTTATATTTTTAGTCTGTTATATTTTTAGTCTGTTATATTTTTAGTCTGTTATATTTTTAGTCTGTTATATTTTAGTCTGTTATATTTTTAGTCTGTTATATTTTTAGTCTGTTATATTTTTAGTCTGTTATATTTTTTAGTCTGTTATATTTTTAGTCTATTATATTTTTAGTCTGTTATATCTTTAGTCTGTTATATTTTTAGTCTATTATATTTTTAGTCTGTTATATTTTTAGTCTGTTATATTTTTAGTCTGTTATATTACTAGAATTTTTTCCCCAGTCACCTTCAGAGTTGCTACTAAAGATGAGACACCATGCTACTAAAGATGAGACACAAATGACGACATGAAATCTTAAAATTTTATTTGTTTCATCTTTTTAAGTTCTTAAACATTCTCTTTAATTCTATGATTGTATTTAGCTCTGTGTATTATTTACACTGAGGGAGCCGAAGATGAGATTGGGATAACCTTTAATGACACTGAGGTTCCCGTAGATGCGATGAAGAAAGGCTTCCCGTGTTGTGCGACCTGTGAGGTGATATCTTTTAAAATTTCAGATTCCCCATTTACAGAGGGGTCCGCATGATTCACAACGGTACCCTTGAAACCTTTATCAGATCAATAATGTGGAAGATAACTTCGTTTTTTTAGCTTGTAATGTGTTCGATTCTTCTTTTGTTTGAAATATGCAGACAAAGCTTTGAATGAAGCCGTTGTGAATCCGACATGAGTTAACGTAACTTACCTGTAATACCATAATTTTTGTAATTGAAGAACTTTTTTATAATTTGTCTAGGAGAAAGGAGGAGTGTGCTCTACTAGCAAACCTAAAGACGGATACCAGATTATTGACAAATGTGTCGGATATAAAGATGGAGCTAAGACCTACTGTGGATACTGCTGGAAATATCCAGTAGATGTGCCATGTGAAGATCCCTGCAAGGTGACTTTCTTCATTGATTAAAAGGAGTGCTTTTAAAATAGAAGGGGGTGGGGCACAGTGGGGTATTAGGGGAGGGTCACCCAAAATGAATTTATTCCATAAACCTCTTATTTATGTCAAATAAGGCTTAGCCGCTTAAGAACTTGTTTTTTAGAGAGGTTTAAGTTGTTTAAATGTAATATTTTAGTTAAGAATTTTGACCAAAAACCCGCTATTTTATTGAAAACTCTTAAATCAGGATTTTTCAACACGCTACTCTGTTGGCGTGCTGCTGACGCCCCTAAATCTGTTCTTTATGGCTGTTAGAATCTATCTATTTATTTAGATTATCCCAAAACCACTGTGCTTTTTTGTGTTTTTTTTCTATAAAATTATGTTTTTCCCGAAATTTCTCTCTGTAACAAAGACGACATCTAAATAAATTGCGGGTTTACAGGATCCATTTAAGGATAAATATATGAATGGGAAAAGTAATTATATTATACTATAACCTCGTTGGGGAAAACTACTTGTTTATAGCGAACATTTCCTTCAAGAGAACTGCACTTCACCGGAAATTGACTTTTCTTTATATTTCCTCAACATTTTGTATGAAATTTCATTAAGAGCAGGGAAGCGATAAAAAATTCTCGCTTAAAGTAAATAACTAGTATTGCATCAGAGTAATCCAAAACTTAAAAAATAAATAAAATTTGTCACGAAAATCAATGAAGGTTTTTCACACCATTATGCATTAGATCAAATAGTATAAGTAAATGTTTAACTCTAATGTACGTCAAAAATCGCCAATTTTGGTCAAAAACTAAGGCTCAAACAAAATCAATATTTTGCAAAATAAACAAAAATAAAATTTGCATCTATTTATTTCATCTAAAATGTCAAATCCTCTTTGCAAAAAATTTACAGTAGGAAATTAGAAGCAACATTTCTTAAAGAAAACAAAGTTTAAAAAAATCAAAAAGTATCTGCAGTGATAAACTTTTAGATATTGGGTATGGGCATCATAGATGCATTAATACCGTCCATTTGTTTATTTTTGACATTTTGCAAATTGTCTGATTTAGGACTAATTAAACTAGTTTTTTTAAAGTAGATTAGTTAAATTTTAACGGATTTTTACTACTTCAACGTTTCTTAAACTCAATTGTTTCAAGAAGAATATTTTGAGACCAATCTTGATTTTTTTAAAGATTTTTTTTCTGGCTTACAGTGATTTGATCAAAACAAAAAAGTTTTAACATTTAAAAAAATTCTCCAATATTTTTTTTAAACTGTATAAAAAAAAACTTTAGAATTAGTGCAAGATGGACTTGAGTACTTTTATCAAAAAGTGCTCTAAACTTTCTTATTTAAAGATTGTTTTGTAAATTTTTGTAAAGAAATTTTTAATTTTTAGTTTTCATTGAATACAGATTAAATTCAAACCTATCTAAATTTGTTTTTAATTCTGTTATAAACTAGTTTAATCAATAATCATCAGCTTTGGAAGCCAGGTTATCATCAACAGAGTCTAGTCCAACCTCTTCATAATCCTTCTCAAGAGCAGCAAGATCTTCTCTAGCCTCAGAGAACTCACCCTCCTCCATACCTTCTCCTACATACCTTTAAACACAACAATAATTAAATTACAATTATTAATATTATTAAATATAATCATGAACTTACCAATGAACAAAAGCTCTTTTAGCATACATCAGATCAAACTTGTGATCCAACCTTGCCCAGGCTTCAGCAATAGATGTGGTGTTAGAAAGCATGCAGACTGCTCTCTGAACCTTGGCAAGATCTCCACCAGGAACTACAGTAGGAGGCTGATAGTTGATACCAACTTTGAACCCTGTGGGACACCAGTCTACAAACTGAATACTTCTCTTAGTTTTGATGGTTGCAATAGCAGCATTTACATCCTTGGGTACTACATCTCCTCTATACAGAAGACAGCAGGCCATATACTTTCCATGCCTAGGATCACATTTAACCATCTGGTTTGCAGGTTCAAAGCATGCATTGGTGATCTCTCCGACAGTAATCTGCTCATGGTAGGCTTTCTCAGAGGAGATGACAGGAGCATAGGTAACCAAGGGGAAATGGATTCTAGGATATGGAACCAAGTTGGTTTGGAACTCAGTTAGATCAACATTGAGAGCTCCGTCAAACCTGAGAGAAGCAGTGATTGAAGATACAATCTGTCCAATCAGACGGTTCAGGTTGGCATAGGATGGTCTCTCAATATCCAGGTTTCTACGGCAGATATCATAGATAGCTTCATTGTCAACCATGAAAGCACAATCTGAGTGCTCAAGAGTAGTATGGGTGGTAAGGATGGCATTGTAGGGTTCAACAACAGCAGTTGCAACTTGAGGAGCAGGATATACTGCAAACTCAAGTTTAGATTTCTTCCCATAATCCACAGAGAGTCTTTCCATGAGAAGGGAAGTAAACCCTGATCCAGTTCCTCCTCCAAAGGAATGGAAGAGAAGGAAACCCTGAAGTCCAGTGCACATATCTGCCAGTTTTCTAATCCTGTCTAGAACTAGATCTACAACCTCCTTGCCAATAGTATAGTGACCTCTAGCGTAGTTATTGGCAGCATCCTCTTTACCATTGACAGCTGTTCTGGATGGAACAGCTGACGATATGTTCCACATCGTGTTTCATCAATTACAGTTGGTTCAAGATCAATAAATACAGCTCTTGGAACATGTTTTCCTGCTCCAGTCTCAGAGAAGAAGGTTGTAAAGGAATCATCTCCGAAGGCCTTGTCTGATGGCATATGTCCATCAGGCTGAATTCCATGCTCAAGGCAGTAGAGTTCCCAGCAAGCATTACCAATCTGGACACCAGCTTGTCCAATATGAACGGAGATACATTCACGCTAAAACAGTAAATTTGTAAATCTAATTTGAATTTTGTAATTTATCATCTTAAAAGAACCTGTGCTTCATCAGCTTATCCATTATCGTTGTTAAAATTCTTACAATTTAAAGATGGCTGCGGTCAGAGAAACAGCTGATACTTTACTAGATTTACTAGTTGGTAGCTAAATATTGTTTTTAAATTTTTGACTCCGCTATTGAGAATGTGAGGATGCTACGTCCAAAATTATATTAGCATTCTTCGATTGTTTTGAAAACCTACTTTTGAGAGGAACTTCTAGAAGTTGACATGGAATAAATAATATATTTTAATAAACCGGCGACGAGATAGTAACACCAAAAATATAAACAATATGCAGAAGAAAATAAAACCCGAATTTAATCCGTGAACCTGTCACATGACTGATAACCAAAACATGCCTCAAAACTGCAGACAACTAAAACCAAAGAGAATAGAATATACATAGAGTTGAATTTACTAGAAAAAAGTTGTACTGTTTCCATACTGCAGGTGTACTTCACACATTTGTGCTGTATAACCTTTTCGGGCCCTGGAACATCATTTTATATAAAAGTTTTCTTGAAAATTATATGATTTTCTTTAAATCAATTCTCTGATAGCCTGTCATGCATTCCTGAGTTCATTTCAGCATAAGCTTCGATAACAATCAATTTGATGTTTTTATTTAGTAAAAGACATATTTTTTAATTTGAGGTAATCAGTAAAAAACAGTAAAGACCAATATTTTTGCAATACTCAAGATACCAAAATATTAAAATTGAAGATGAGAAAGGTAAATGGTAATAAACTCTTTAATTTCAATTTCATAACTTTTATACAGTGGGATTAATAAAACTGTGAAATGGAAGGAAAACATTTAACCAATCTAATTTATGTTTGCTAAGCTGAAAGTAAAACGGCTCTGAGACAGCTAAGGGGCAAGCAGAAAGGGGGGATACTTCTATATGTAGAATGTATAGATACTTAAATTCTGTTTTAAGAATGGATTAAAAACATTTTCCATGTGGAACACTTAACAAATAAATAATTGTTTAGTTAAATAAAGATAATTCTTGTGATTGGCCGCAGGTAGCATGGAATTTGCAAGTGGGGGGGGGGGGAACTTTTTTGGTCCAGAAAACCTTAGAAAAGGTCGAAATTAATAACTCATTACACATTAATGTTTCTCAATAAAAAAAGTATGGCTGAGGGTTTAGTTTAAGCGTCAAGCTTTTAGCCTGAAATGGCTTTTTTTGAGCTTTAAATGGCATTTTTTTTATGCCATTTTTCTTGAAGTAAAAAAAATTTATGGCTCAAAGGAAAAAAAATTGCAAAACTGTAGACAAAATATCTATCTTAATTACCCTTGACAAAAGGAAGCATATTGCATAAATCTTGCAGGGAAGTTTTGCATTTTTTGCTATGTGATTGGATTTGAAAAAAAATATTTTGATATTTTTAAATCTGAAACTTTTTTCTTTATTGGTTCATCAACGTAACTAGATATCTGAGTAACAATGAGGGAGATATCATGATTTTCTTAATCCCTGACAAGGAAGTGAAAAAAATGTTATTCCCCCCCCCCTTCCTCGCTTAATCCTAGAATCCCCTTGCTAGAATTTTCTTCTAATTGTTTTGCTTTTTGAGACAGCCAGTATGTGTTCTGCATTGATTCACGAAAATCATCCAAATTTTACAATAATATACAAAGAGAAAATGTTCACAATTTTAATAGTAGATGGGCGCGAAGCGCCCTAAAAGCCTCCCTATTTGAAATAGAAAAATTAATTTAAAACAAGATATTCATTGCAGTATACAAAAGAGTCAGAAGCAAAACAGATTAACAATTCTATAGTTATTCACTTTACAAACGACGATTTTTACATTTTAATGTTTAATAAAAGAATGATTTTAATTCACCCATAGTAAATACACACGTTTAAAGTTATTTAACAACTTTATAAAACAAAGAAAATGGAATGGATATGACCAGGGATCATACTGTATTAGTGTGATGTACTGCCGTATAATTTGTGAACATTTACATGTATTGTACACTTTTAAGGCTGAAAGAGACTGATAAAATTCATACCAAGGGATTGTTTAAATTCCTCTCTATGTAAAATCTTTTCTCTTTGACTGAAACAAACTGTTTCTTGAACGCGTTTTGTTCTTTCCTTCATTTGGAACCGGTTATTGGCAATTCCAATTGAACGGGGTTCAAATTCTTTAGATTCGGCCTCCTAATAGACTTTCAGATTTGCTCTGCTTTGAAGTCTTATATTTTCTGACTACCCCCGTATGTTTGGATATATTAACTACCCCTGTATGTTTGGATATATTAACTACCCCTGTATGTTTGGATATATTAACTACCCCTGTATGTGTGGATATATTAACTACCCCTGTATGTTTGGATATATTAACTACCCCTGTATGTTTGGATATATTAACTACCCCTGTATGTTTGTTTGGATATATTAACTACCCCTGTATGTTTGGATATATTAACTACCCCTGTATGTTTGGATATATTAACTACCCCTGTATGTTTGGATATATTAACTACCACTGTATGTTTGGATATATTAACTACCCCTGTATGTTTGGATATATTAACCTGTATGTTTGGATATATTAACTACCCCTGTATGTTTGGATATATTAACTACTCCTGTATGTTTGGATATATTAACTGAGTAAGTAATTTCCAAACCCTGAGCTGAATGTATTTTTAAATCAAACCTTTGGATGAACTTTAAATATGTTTAATCTTACATTTCTAGGATAGAACCTTGTTCTATACTCAGACTGCATCCTCCCTGATGAAACTTCAACTGCAGGTTTAAATCTAGAACATTGGTCTGGAGCAGGATGTTTAGATTTAACTCATGTAATTTCATCATCATGAGTTCATCATTACTAACTGTTAATAGTGTTCAAGGAAGATCTCATCAAGAGTTAATCATTACTAACTGTTAATAGTGTTCAAGGAAGATCATCATCAAGAGTTCATCATTACTAACTGTTAATAGTGTTCAAGGAGGAGACACCAGGAACATCAATATCTATGTATTTGAAATCCAAAAAGGAATATTTGAGAAATGACTCAATTTAAGTATTCAGAATCTAAGATTAAACCCTTGATGATTAAGGGAGATAGGTAGAGTTCAATTTTTTTCATTTCTTTCGTTCATCGTTCAAGAACAACCCACTTCGAAATTTTTGTTTAACCGTTCCAAAAAAAATATTTTTTATCATTCTCAAAATTATCGTTCATTTTCTATCCATTTAATTAGATTTCTCGCTGAAATATTGTTTAGTAAAATCGTTTGTTCAATAAAATTGTTCGTTCAGTAAAAAAGCCATATTTTTTTCAAAAATTTTTTCGGAACAATTGTTCGTTCAGAAAAGAAATTCAGATATTGTTCAACGTTTGTTCTAAAAAATTGTTCGTTCTGTAAAAAAAACTATCGTTTACACTTTCAGGTTCCAAAGATTTAGGGATTAGAACTTTTTGCTTGTGGCAAATTATTTATCGTTTTACGAAAATTAAAACAAAAATAAATGTTTATTATCTGAATTCAATATTTGCAAGTATGAAATTATTCTGAACGCATGATTCTCAACAAATACGCATCCTTTTGTGCCTATACTTGAACGCCATAACTGCATGAAATTGGCCTGGTTTAAGGCCGTGCAACTTAAATTAAAGCAGAGATACGATCTTTAAGCTGGAACTGCCCTTTACTGTTTATTATATTAACATTAAACAAACATGAAAGTTTGATGTCTCCACATTAAATGTTTTTTATTTATCACATATATGTTGGTTTAAAGAGACTGTTTCCTAGCTTTTCTAAAGGAACATGGATCATTTTTAATTTCGGATTATCTTCAAAAATGACTTGCGGATTTATGCTGCAGAGGCAGAGAACAAAGTGTAGGAATTTAACACATTTGAAACAAGGAAAAGGACAATATGTTACTTATTCTTAAAGGGACAGACCGGCAATGTAAGGTAGTTGAACTGAGTATGAAGTGTTGTGGAAAACTTCTTTCGGATTCATTTGAGACATTTTTCGCCTTTAAAAGATCTGTAAATCCTGAGTTTGAGCGCAAAGACGACGTTCAAATGGTACCGTTATGAACCTGGCTTGAAAGTCTTTAAATGGTTGGTCACTTAATATTATGCCTTCAGGCTACAGTTCGTTTAATATCATAAATTTATCTACAAATAAAAAAATAAAAGATTTACCCCACTCTAACATTTTTAAAAGCACCAACCTTTATTTAGTAAAATAATATAAACTTTACTGACGACCTTAAATGACTTGCAGTCGTCGTCGTCTATATCAATAAAATGAAGACGACTTTCGATTTGAATTAACAGCTTTTCTTCTGTTCAGGCTGACGTCTCCTGTATCCAAAATAGTTTGGGGTTTCTTATTGTGATATACAAATCTATAAATTTGCAAATTTACAAAATTTAAAATATTTACTGCAAAATAAGTCATCTAGCAAAAAGTGTGCAAACACTAAAAGTGCGCGAACAATGATGATGTCCTTGACAAGACAAATTCAAATATTCAAAAATATTTGCAAAATTTTGAAAAACTAAATGTGTATACGAGGAAAACTGAAAATGTGCAAACTCCCTTTAAAGGCGTCTGTGCAAAAATCTATGCAATATTTCTTCGGAAAGATTTTGCCATATTTCCTATTAAAAAGTTATCTAAAAAGCTTTAAAATGTTGAAATCCAAATACTGTAAGTACGTCTAAATATGGATTTAGTCTGTTTAGGTAAAATAAGGCATTTAAAGGGTATACATTGGTCATTTAGAATGCAGCTAGGGTGTCCCAATAAAGATGAGAGAACTTTCAAATCGTCTTTGTTAAGAATTAACAATGAAAATGTGCTTCCAGTATTACCGAAGATATGAAGAATTTTGTTTAGATTTCGACAATTTTGGTTTTATTTAATAAACAAAAATCTGATATCTCCGGTAATATTAACAGCAACAGGCAGACCACATTTTGGAAATGCGAGGATCGGTAGAATTTTGTGATTATTAACTCAAGAATTCTAATTCTAAAATTAAGTTTAAGAAAAAATGCCGCAAATTAGTTAAAAGATTCAAAACGACCTTCCAGTCGTCTTGCTACTGTTATGTTTCCTGGGACACCCTATATCACCTGAAACTTCTTGACTTTTAAGAAATCTATATAATAAAACAAGACATTCATATATATGTTTCTTATAGCCGGCCAAACGGCTGGACCGAATGGGCTGAAATTGTTTGTGAAATTTTTTTCCCACGGACAACGCCAGTATTTCATATTTGTCAAAAACCATATTTTTTTAGTTTTGTGGACCCAAAAAAAACCTAGATGTGCAACAATTTTTAAAAGAAATATCTCATTAAGGTAAAAAATGATTGAAAATAGTATATTGGCATCAGGCCGACCATATTGAAAATTTATTATAAAACGCTAAGATTAAGTATTCCCTACTTCGTAAAGCACCAAATTTATAAAAAATATCCAATTTTTCGTAGAATATTTTACATATTTTTGGTAAAAATTAAAATCAAATTTCTTATTACGTGACATTTTTGTGACTAATTAAATTTGTATCATTTGTTAAAAATTAGAGTTACATTTTTTGTATTTTTTTGGAAAAAACTTAGTAAACGTTTTGTAAATTTTGGGAAAAGATTAAATTTGTTATTTTTAAGGATAAAAATCCCAACAAAACTTTTTTCAAGACATTTATTGAAGAAATTACGACATAAATGATAGATGATAGATAGATCCTTCTTATGTATACAGTGTGCTCCTAAAAGTGTGCATATTCCCGGCCCCTCGAACTCTTCTCCCACCCGCCAGCTCACCCCTTGCACCCTCCTACCCCTTACCCCTTACCCATAGCTACTGCATGAGAAATATATATTTTATTCATAATTAGGGGTTCCAATGCGAGTGAATTTTACTTGGTCGCAATTCTGCACAATTCAAGAACAATTACATGCAATTCAGCACGGTTGCGCATAATTCCGTACAACGGATTTCCAATTGGAATCCCTATTTACAATTCACAAGCACATGAGAATTACAATAAGTAAAATTTTTCCCACATTTAGGAATTGTTTGCAGTGGCTAGGTTCCAGGTTCAGATATTAAAAACATTTTTTTTTTTAAATGTGTTAAAAGGAATTGAGTCTTTGGAACATAATCAAATATGTAAACCTCAATATCTTTATAACTCGATCTTGTAAACCTTTGATATTTCAAACTCAGATTATTTGATCTAACAGAATTCATAGTTTGAAATATCTAAGGTCTGCAACATTTGGTTCCAAAGATATAGTGATTAGAAAATCAGAGTTTGTGGCAAAGACTCAATTCCTTTATTATACCAAATTCCTTTCTGATTCAGTTACACTTTTGGAAGATATTAGTTTAGTTGAAGAAACTGATAAAGAATTGCCATTGAAAACTTTGTAATTTTATGTATAATGTCCCATACTCTAATGAAAATGTTTTATTTTTTTCCGAATCGCTTGTAAATTTATTGAAAATTAAATTTTATGTAAATTTAGAAAAGAAAACTTCAAGTTTGTTGTATTTTCCAGTTTGACCAGATTATTTTAGTATTCATCTCCATCTCCACCCTCAGCATCAACAGAGTCTAGTCCAACCTCTTCATAATCCTTCTCAAGAGCAGCAAGATCTTCTCTAGCCTCAGAGAACTCACCCTCCTCCATACCTTCTCCTACATACCTTTTAAACACAACAAATATTAAATTACAATTATTAATATTATAAAATATAATCATGAACTTACCAATGAACAAAAGCTCTTTTAGCATACATCAGATCAAACTTGTGATCCAACCTTGCCCAGGCTTCAGCAATAGATGTGGTGTTAGAAAGCATGCAGACTGCTCTCTGAACCTTGGCAAGATCTCCACCAGGAACTACAGTAGGAGGCTGATAGTTGATACCAACTTTGAACCCTGTGGGACACCAGTCAACAAACTGAATACTTCTCTTAGTTTTGATGGTTGCAATAGCAGCATTTACATCCTTGGGTACTACATCTCCTCTATACAGAAGACAGCAGGCCATATACTTTCCATGCCTAGGATCACATTTAACCATCTGGTTTGCAGGTTCAAAGCATGCGTTGGTGATTTCTCCGACAGTAATCTGTTCATGGTAGGCTTTCTCAGAGGAGATGACAGGAGCATAGGTAACCAAGGGGAAATGGATTCTAGGATATGGAACCAAGTTGGTTTGGAACTCAGTTAGATCAACATTGAGAGCTCCGTCAAACCTGAGAGAAGCAGTGATTGAAGATACGATCTGTCCAATCAGACGGTTTAGGTTGGCATAGGATGGTCTCTCAATATCCAGGTTTCTACGGCAGATATCATAGATAGCTTCATTGTCAACCATGAAAGCACAATCTGAGTGCTCAAGAGTAGTATGGGTGGTAAGGATGGCATTGTAGGGTTCAACAACAGCAGTTGCAACTTGAGGAGCAGGATATACTGCAAACTCAAGTTTAGATTTCTTCCCATAATCCACAGAGAGTCTTTCCATGAGAAGGGAAGTAAACCCTGATCCAGTTCCTCCTCCAAAGGAATGGAAGAGAAGGAAACCCTGAAGTCCAGTGCACATATCTGCCAGTTTTCTAATCCTGTCTAGAACTAGATCTACAACCTCCTTGCCAATAGTATAGTGACCTCTAGCGTAGTTATTGGCAGCATCCTCTTTACCATTGATCAGCTGTTCTGGATGGAACAGCTGACGATATGTTCCACATCGTGTTTCATCAATTACAGTTGGTTCAAGATCAATAAATACAGCTCTTGGAACATGTTTTCCTGCTCCAGTCTCAGAGAAGAAGGTTGTAAAGGAATCATCTCCGAAGGCCTTGTCTGATGGCATATGTCCATCAGGCTGAATTCCATGCTCAAGGCAGTAGAGTTCCCAGCAAGCATTACCAATCTGGACACCGGCTTGTCCAATATGTACGGAGATACATTCACGCTAAAAAAAGATATAAAATATATTTAATGTTAATCTGTTAATGTTGATATAGTGTAAAGATATAATGTAAATTGTCATTTTAGATGCTTCTGCTTTAAAGTCAAAAGAAACTAACGAAAAAGGTCACTAACAAGGGACATGTTTTACCAATGTTAATTTAAATCTTGTGAATCTCGGGATCTCTGGATTTTGGATATCCACAATTTCACAAAAAACTCCCTGGCTAGTGATTGTCTATTCGTTTTCCACAGACGACACTCTTTACTGGATTTTAAATAAAGATTAAATTAATCTGTAGATTAACAATATATAGAGCTGGATATCAACAATACAAGAGTTCCTACCTCTGTATAAATTGTCAAATCCTTAAAAATAAAACTCAATTCCTTGATCATATATTCATGAACTATTTTATATCAAAATAGGGTTTAATTTTACCATTTTGAATGTTTGCTGCAGATACCAGTTAGGTGGCAGAGCAACGATAACTGAGGAATGAGAATATGATAATCTTTTTGGATCCTATACCCCCCCCTCTCTCTTCTCTACCATTGGTTGAACCTAGTAAAACCATCCAATAAGAGGATTGCAATATAGGTGCCCAGTATACCTTTCTAAAGCCTTGGTTACTTGGGTTCTATGACTCATGTGTGTGAATGTGGGAGTAGGAGTCACACCCTACGCATTTGGAGATTTAAAGGGACAATTTTTATTGAAAGGGATCCTACACATACCAAGGTTATAATGCAAGGAAAGTTATTTGCTGTTGCGTATATTCTGTGTACATGTTGAAACCAGTTCTCTCTGGTCGGAATTTGTAAACAAGAATAGATGCATCAGTGTTTTCTTAGTATCCGAGGAGGTTAAAAGCATTAAATTTTGATAATTCACATAATAGTTTCCTATGACCAGAATATTTCATTGATTTTTTATGTGAAAGATGGATCCCATATCAGGCTTCGACATCCGTCTTGTGTTTAAAATCTTTACAGAAATTTCGGATAGAAATAAAATTAAAATTTTCGATTGTTTCAAAAATTATTATTGGCACATTCTACCATTCAGATGAAATATATGGATAAAAATCAGTAAAATTTTACAAATATTAGTTGCTGGCGCATTCTTATATGAACACTTGTCTTAAACTCTAATTTTCGCATCCTTAAATATTTGCAACCTTTCTCGTAAACCTGTATTATCTCTATATAAGTTTAGCTTGTCTGTCTGTCTGACTGTTTGTCTGTTTGTCTGTTAGTTTGTATCCAATAAAGGCCAAAGGGATGAACCGATCAGGCCCAAATTTTGTGTGGGACCTCACGTAGCCCCAGGGAAGGTTTATGAATGATCAAAATTTCAAATATTTGTCTCCATCTAAATTCAATTTTCAATAATATTTTGAAAATTTTGAAAATCCACGAAATTTTGTTTTGTTTTACGATGTACACAAAGAGAACATGTTCACAATTAAAATAGAAGATGGACGCGAAGCGCCCTAAAAGGCTAGTAAACTATTAATTTTGATCAATTGATATAAAAGATTTATGTAAATAAAGGTTACGAAGATGTACTAAACCTTAATTCCACCTAAGATTGATAACCTCAATGTTTTTAATCATAACTCCTTTTTATTGAAGATCTGTTGAAAAAAAAAATATTTTGATTTACTAATATGTAGCAGGATAATCTAGCTTTTCTTCTAAACAAGAGTTTGGTGCGAGTATGTAAAGATTCCTCTACTTAAAATTTTGATTGAGTGTGTCAAAATCAATAAAGGAATTGATTTTTCAATCCCAGTATCATTTCAATACGATAAATTCTGTTAGATTAAATATTCGAAGTCAAATATATTCATATCTTACATTGATAGTTATATGGCAAAATCTATTTTTACAACATTTTTTATACGATAAAAAATGAAAAAGTTTGATAATTTTGTCTCCAAAAACCAGTAAAAAAAGTTTTAAAGTAATTTACCATGAAAATAAGCATGTAAAGATCACGAATTTCTAGGTTTTTTTGACAAATAACAAGATCTGTAATTCTTTGTGTTGAATTTTTTATCTATTATTTTTAGCGCTATCTTCATTTATGTTGACTTTCAAAAGATGATTTGTTTATTTATCTCATGAACAATTAAATGTGTTTTATTTGAAAAGCTTTTGATAATTTTACAAAAAAAATATCCAACTAATTAATTCTTAAATAAATCCCTAAGAATATGACAAAACTTTATTTATAACTTTATTCATGGGGTTTCTCGTTTTTCCATCTCTTAAAGACTTTTAAAAATTGTTAAGATAGTTTTAACCCACAAAAATGGAAGACAACAATTTGGAATGATAAGGAATCATGGACTTATTTCTTTGTATAAACATTGTCATCATTAGCTTTTTTTAAAAAAAACTCATATTTTTTCTGTTCATAAGTTTTTTAAAAAATATTATTTCTATTTTAACAAACGTTGGTGTAATCATGTAATAAATATTCATTTTCTATTAGCGCGAATTTACCAGGGACAACTGTGAATTTACTTTTCCATATCATCAAAAAAGTGAAGAAAACATGAGGAATTGTCAATTTCCGGTGAATAGCAGTTTAATTAAGTTGTTGATAATATTAATATATGTCTAAATACTAAAAAAAGTTTTATATTTTTACTTAAAACGTTGTAATTTAGCTATATATTCATCTTGTAAATGCGCGAGTATTTCTAATGAAAATGCGCAATTCATGAATTTCTCTCACAAATACTCTGAGTAGGGGTGAACAAGGTTAAATGTTGTAATTTCAAGTGACAAGCAAGTGAAAGATATTGATGTTTTTATAACTGGAATAGTTATTTTTAAAGAGAGAACACAATTTAGAATAAATCATGGATATCTCAGTCAGTCTTAATCAGATAAAGCGTTTTAAGGCACAGTTGTGAATTAGATATGCCACTCTATTTATGGAGGGTCATATATAAATGAGATTTAGATTGTCTAAAAATTATGCTAATCTTTTTAAAGAGTGCAGTTTTACTTTGACTTTTTAAGCAAACTAATTTTTTGTAGCAAAATTTGCTCATTTAAAAATTTATTTATTAAAATGCAGTATTACTTCAAGGCCACTGCACATTTATATTTTTTTGCAATCGCAAACAAAATCATTGTTTATGATTAGCAGTGCGTGAAGAACATTTTTACACAAAGGAACTGAGTTTTTGCCACAAATTCTGATTTCTAAATCGCTATATCTTTGCAACCTGATGGTGTTAACCTTTGATATTTCAAACTATTATTATCTGATCTAAAATAATTCATAGTTTGAAATATCCAAGGTCTCTGACATTGAAATGCAAAGATATAGGAATAAGAAAATCAGATTTTGTGACAAAAACTCAATTCCTTTCTCACCATTTAATTAATTAATTAAAACGAAATAACATTGAAGCTTTTTTATAATAAAAGAAACATATTTATTACGAGCTGAAGTGCCCGGCGTTATCTGTAAAAAAATTTAGAATTTTGAAAAAAATTATTTGAAAAAAAAAATAATCGATTTTTCAAGAAACAAGATTAAACTTTTATCTAACCTATATGCAAACCTAACCTAACCTAACCCTGGGTACCAATGAGTTCCCTCATAAAGAAAATGCAGCCAATTTGGTCTATCCGTTTGACCAGCTATAGCTAACATATATATACAAATATAAATATATATATATATACTAGCTGAAGAGCCTGGCGTTGCCCGTAGAAAAAAAAATTTGAAACAAAATTTGAAATCAAAAATTTTTGAATTCTTTTAGCCATAGCACCCCCCGGCCACCCATGAGTGTCCGCAAAAAATGTCAGCCCAATCGGTGCAGCCGTTTGGCCGGCTATAGGGAACACATAAACGAATGTCTTGTTTTATTATATAGATGAGCGGAAAGCTTTATAATTATAGATTATTATAGGGAAGTGTTTGCGAAACATTAAACTAAATCAAAATCTAATCAAATTTGGATTTCATCGCTATGAGTTTGTGTACACTGTATTTAATGTTTATTGGGAGTCAAATATTATAGAAACCACTAGCAGAGAATATTTTTTATATTTTAGAGAAATTAAATAATCATTTTCATAAAATCCTTTTATTTAAATGGTTACACGGAATTTTATGAAATCATAATTTTTGTATTTTTGAGAAATCATTTTTTTGTAAAAATGAACTGTAGATATAATTTTCAAAAAGTTTTTTTTTTTTAAAGGTAACACGCAGTTTTATGTCACATGTGAGCATTCATTTATGAGGTCAGTACAAAAGAGAATAGAATATATATTAGAGGGGTTTTTAGAGAATCTCTCGTTATGAATTTTTTCAGTCTCTTTCAGCCTGAAAGAGAGTTCAAAGTGTACAAATCATGTAAATGTTCACAAATTATATGCAGTAGAGTACATTAATACAGTATGTTCTCTAGACTATCCATTTCAATTTCGAATTTTTTAAAGCTGTTAAATAAACTTAATAATGAATTTGGTGAATAAAAAACATCATTTGATTTATAGTTATAACGGAAAATCATCGTTTGTAAAGTGAAAGGCATAGAGTCTATGTGAAATGATTATTGGTCAGTTATGAAGCTAGCCAATTTCATAATTTGGTTTTCTTTTAATATTAATTTTATATTTTCTATAAAATGATATTCCAGGGCCCAAAAGGTTTTATAGCATAAATATGTGAAGTACACCTGCAGTATGGAAACAGTACAACAAAATGGCCGTTTTACACTTTTTTCTAGTAAATTCCCCTCTAATATATATTCTATTCTCTTTGGTCAGTACATAATAAAATCTGGGGGGACCTTAAACACAATAGAAAGCAGTACAAATGTACATATTAATCTAGTTAGTTGTATAGTGTCTAGGGTATGTTAAAAAATTAAAATAATGATATTGATAATTGATGAGCTACAATGTTTTACAAAAAAGTTCAATTTCTCTAAAATATAAAAGATATTCTCCCATTCAATACGTTCGGTTTTAAATGTTTGACTTCGTATATTGAACTATTTAAATCACAGTTCGAGTTTAACAGTCGTCTTTCTATTCCACAGTTTTATGTGTCCCACTAAATAGTTAGATGTAGCATAAAGAAAATATAAATAGTTAGATGTAGCATAAAGAAAATATAAACCAAAAGAGACTGAATCAGGATTATTGGATTAAGGACGGATTATACTTCAATCCTCTCTCTTAATTCTTATCTTCTAGCCACAAGCCAACAATTCAAACATTAAATTGTATTTTATAAACCTGCATAATGTTATATTAGTGTCCTGTAGAAATTTTCGTGTTTTTTTTAAGGTTTCCGGTCAAATTAATACAATTTAGTTTATTTCATCAAATACAACCAAATCGGATGAAAAATTACCAAATATTAGATTTTTTCCATTGAATTTCTACGCATAAATTGTAGTAATCTCTGTTTGTTTATTTGTATGTCCGATCATATAAATAAAAGTTGAATTGAGGAACTCAGTGAACCTCGGGAATGTTCTTCGCTTGGTTTCAAAGATTTCAGTTGAGTTGATAAAACCTAAGTTTCAAAGCTACTGTTGAATATTATTATTTTTTTTAAATAATTCTCATTTTTACTGGATCTCCCTGTAGAACCCTAAAACTAGGTTTGGGTCTGGTTAGATCTTTAGACTTTACTCCAACAGGTGTAAACCCTTAAATGTGGTTCTCAATGCATGAGTCATCCTGAGCACACCTGGAAATATTTTTTTACTTTTTTTTAACTTTTTGTGATAATTCAATCTTTGTCCTGAATTAGGACAAACAATTTCTAAAAAATATTTAAATACAGTGAAATATTTATGCAAAATATAAATGTACAAAAATGATAGGACAATATTGTAACAGATGTAGAATACTAGCAGAGGAATGAAGAGGAGGGTATGGGGCGTGTATCAAATATAAATCTGTCATGCGTGGCATCCAACTCGCAAATAATTTTACATAAAATAAATTTAATTACCTAGGTTTAGGTCTTGTACTGCCTATGTACGTGATTATGTACTGCAAGATGTACAGTATACATGGAATATTCACACCTGTTACCTGAAACCTATTTAAATGAGCAGGTGAGCACTCGCACGCCCAAAACAGGACTGAGCCAATAGGAGAACAGACGTCCAGAATCAGCCAATAGGAGAACAGTGTTGGATCACGTGACACCTGGCAGTAGAGCCTAGAAATGGGGAGTGAAAGGAAGGTTATGACAGTATCAAGCAGACCGCTATCAAGGAACCATTATTTTCCTATTTTGGCGACTCTTCTAACTCCTTTAAACCCTCATCATGGTAAGAATATTATTATACTTTTTAAAAAAATTTCAATTCCCGAACCCCCCCTCCATCGGTCTATTTTTTATCTCTATGGTCTTTACTTTGGGGTTAACTGCAAAGGATAAGAAAATTAACTGCAAAGGATAAGAAAATTAACTGCAAAGTTCTATTTATTAAGAAAATTATTAATTATATACTTCTTCAAATATTGAGACAATTTGAACTTAGGAATTTTTTCTATGCCACAGAAATCAGAAAAAAAGTAACTGATTACTTGATATTTCGAACTATGAATAATGTTATAAATTAAAAAACTCAAAGTTAGAAATATCAAAGGTTTACACCATCAGATTGCAAAGATAAGGGGATCAGAAAATTTGAGTTTCTGGCAAAAACTCAGTTTCTTCAAGGAAAAAAGCCTAAATAAGGCATTAAAGTTTATAATTTTTAAAGCATTAGTATTTTATCTTTTTTGGGGGTATCTCTGTATCTCTGTTTTCAATAGGAATGTTATCTTCATAAGAAATTTATTTTTTCATTGATTTATGTTAAAAATATTTCATTCAATCCCTATTTCTGAAAACCTTTATGTTTTTGGTATTTATTAACCATTTTTGGTGCTTACTACCCCAAAAATGAATATTTTTAGACATTTAATGAAGGGTTTTGGTGCAAAGTTATTTTTTTTATTTTTTCATTGTTTCGTGATTTGTTTGATTATGCTTGGACACGTTGTGCACACCAGGATTTCGTGTAGAGAATATATCTTCAGCAGCAAGGGGTGCAATTCTATTTCATAAACTCGGACCCATATATATCTGTAGAATAGAAAGACGACATTTAAACATTTTACTAAATTTGAAATAGTAAAGGTGTAGAGAATCAAGTTGCAAGAAAATATGGATTATAAAATAAGAGATTGGGGCAAGTGTTTAGCTTATTTTCTTAAGTTTTGAAATGTACTGGCTTTTCAATCTTTCACTCTACTACAGTAAAACCCTATTTGTCGTATTCTTCACTTTCTGATATTAGAAAGTTGCAGATATTAAGTTTTTTCAATTAAATGATTATATGGAGCTCTTTAAAGCTGTTTCCACATTCATGGCTATTTGTTTAATTTTTGCAAATACTGAGATATTTACGTAAAATAGTATAAAACAAAACCTAGTGAACATTGGCAAGACGACATTTGATAAATTCTTTCGATGTATGGTTCAATTAGGGTTTAACTGTATATACATACATACATACATACATTACCAGTATATGTGTTTTTACATAATTCTTTTTTAGCGTGAATGTATCTCCGTTCATATTGGACAAGCCGGTGTCCAGATTGGTAATGCTTGCTGGGAACTCTACTGCCTTGAGCATGGAATTCAGCCTGATGGACATATGCCATCAGACAAGGCCTTCGGAGATGATTCCTTTACAACCTTCTTCTCTGAGACTGGAGCAGGAAAACATGTTCCAAGAGCTGTATTTATTGATCTTGAACCAACTGTAATTGATGAAACACGATGTGGAACATATCGTCAGCTGTTCCATCCAGAACAGCTGATCAATGGTAAAGAGGATGCTGCCAATAACTACGCTAGAGGTCACTATACTATTGGCAAGGAGGTTGTAGATCTAGTTCTAGACAGGATTAGAAAACTGGCAGATATGTGCACTGGACTTCAGGGTTTCCTTCTCTTCCATTCCTTTGGAGGAGGAACTGGATCAGGGTTTACTTCCCTTCTCATGGAAAGACTCTCTGTGGATTATGGGAAGAAATCTAAACTTGAGTTTGCAGTATATCCTGCTCCTCAAGTTGCAACTGCTGTTGTTGAACCCTACAATGCCATCCTTACCACCCATACTACTCTTGAGCACTCAGATTGTGCTTTCATGGTTGACAATGAAGCTATCTATGATATCTGCCGTAGAAACCTGGATATTGAGAGACCATCCTATGCCAACCTGAACCGTCTGATTGGACAGATTGTATCTTCAATCACTGCTTCTCTCAGGTTTGACGGAGCTCTCAATGTTGATCTAACTGAGTTCCAAACCAACTTGGTTCCATATCCTAGAATCCATTTCCCCTTGGTTACCTATGCTCCTGTCATCTCCTCTGAGAAAGCCTACCATGAACAGATTACTGTCGGAGAGATCACCAATGCATGCTTTGAACCTGCAAACCAGATGGTTAAATGTGATCCTAGGCATGGAAAGTATATGGCCTGCTGTCTTCTGTATAGAGGAGATGTAGTACCCAAGGATGTAAATGCTGCTATTGCAACCATCAAAACTAAGAGAAGTATTCAGTTTGTTGACTGGTGTCCCACAGGGTTCAAAGTTGGTATCAACTATCAGCCTCCTACTGTAGTTCCTGGTGGAGATCTTGCCAAGGTTCAGAGAGCAGTCTGCATGCTTTCTAACACCACATCTATTGCTGAAGCCTGGGCAAGGTTGGATCACAAGTTTGATCTGATGTATGCTAAGAGAGCTTTTGTTCATTGGTAAGTTCATGATTATATTTTATAATATTAATAATTGTAATTTAATATTTGTTGTGTTTAAAGGTATGTAGGAGAAGGTATGGAGGAGGGTGAGTTCTCTGAGGCTAGAGAAGATCTTGCTGCTCTTGAGAAGGATTATGAAGAGGTTGGACTAGACTCTGTTGATGCTGAGGGTGGAGATGGAGATGAATACTAAACTAATCTTAACAAATTGGAAAATACAACAAATTTGAAGTTTTCTTTTCTAAATTTATATAAAATTTAATTTTCAATAAATTTACAATCGATTCGGAAAAAAATATAACATTTTTGATTAGGGTATGGAAAATTATACATAAATGTCGTAACATATTATTAACGTATTAGAATTAGTTTTTATAAGTATGTTTTATTACTACTACTAGTAATTGTGTGAAAATTTTCACAGAAAGGGAATATAGACATAATTTTGAGTTTTCTATGTTTTACTCTCAGAAAATTGACTATATGCAAATGTTGTTTCTCTGTGGAATTTCTGCTAAAGAAACAATGTAGAAATTGTGAAAATAAAACAGTTTTCAAGCTAGATTATGGTTTCAGGGTATATGGCATTTTAAAAATGGAGGGTCACTTAAAATATACAGAATGTTAGAATCTTAGTATTTATTTGACGATTTTACAGTTGTCAGGTACAGAACAGGTACAGGTACAGGTACAGGTACAGGTACAGGTACAGTATTTATTTGACGACGAGTTTACAGTTGTCAGGTACAGAACATACAAAATCGGTGATAGTAATTCCAGTTAGAAATTACGAGCAAAATCTTAATCATTCCGGAGGGAAAAAAAATAAGAAAAAAAAATATTTAAATTTCGTTTTTATTTTTTTTAATCTTGCCAATTTTCAAGTTGCTGTTATTTTTGTTATTGTTTGGAATTTTTCCAGTCTGTAAAAATATTTGAGTAATCAAAATATGAACGTTTTGTTTTATAACTGAATTCACTTTTTTTTCTTTAACAAGTGTTAAAAAATGACCGCCATTTTCTTAAATGCATATTAAGGTTCAGTGCGAAAATTGACTAAAACCCTCGGAAGTTTATCGGCCGGGTTGACTTTGAAGAGTACTCTTGAACGAAAGGAGGTATCGTACTCTGAAGTAGCTCTTGACCTTGACTATCTTCTTGCAAAATTAGTATTACCTCACCCCCGCCTACAGAAAGAAAGGTGAAACTGCACATGAAACGTTTTATCGAAATACTGGTGCATAAGAAAACTAAATTTGTGTTTTATTTTGCAATACATGTTGCAGATATTTTGTTATATTGCAAAACGTTCATATTACAGTTGCTCAAATCTTTTTACAAATTGTAAAAAGTCCAAAAAATGACAGAGAAATAGCTGTTTAAAAATTGTACAATTAATTGTTTGTATGTATATATTCTAGCTTTTTTAAGGGAACCCTTGAAATTTTTTTTGTTTCAAAATTTGATTTTTAACAAATTCCACGGGTAACACTGGACATTTCCCCTAGTTACTATATTGCAGGTTTTAATTACTCAAGAAGAAAAATCTATTTCATTACAGATTTTATTGGTCCTTTTTGACTGAGGTTTCAGATTGGAAAGGAAAGCCATTTAAATCATAAATTGATAAATTTTACGGAGTCTGGAGAATGAATCAGTTTCTCATCCAAGCTGTGTGCGGTTGCATTTAGAGAAGCCAATAACCGTTTCTTTTCCAATCCGTGTATACACGCAACCCCGGAGAACTTAAACCAGGACTAGTTTCTCCAGTCTATTCTCCGATCAGAGAACACAAACATCTCTCATCGTGTTTAAAATTTATATTCTTTGTTCCATCTTTTTAAATATTTCTAAGTTGAAATTAAAAAAAGTTGATTAGAATATATCGAAAAGAATCCAGCATAAAACAGAAACAGCTCTGAAATCTTATAAATTGTAGATTTTTCCATAATGTACCAAAAAGGGGGGTACATAGGTGGTGATAAATTTAGATTCTTTGAGACTCCTTTAATAAATATCAAATTTCATAATTTATAAGATAAAGACGACTTTCAATCCAATATTTTCTGGTTATCGCTGAATTATGCAAGGAAGATAGAACTATGAAAGAGGAAAGACTAATAAAGAAATATAATGGCTGGAGAGTGTACTAACCCTTAATAAAGAACAAGGAAGACCACTAAGAATACGCCCAAGGAAGATTTAATTGTAAAACTTGATGAAGCCAAGAAGAGTGCTAGAAAGACTACAAAACCCTTAGAAAGGACTAGAAAGACTACAAAACCCTAAGTAATGACAAGGAAAATTATTAAATCCTAAGAAAAGACTAAGAAGACTATCAAAACCTGAAAAAGGACTAGGAATAATAATTAACCCTAAAAAAGCACTAGAAAGACAACTAACTCCGAAGAAAGGACTATGTAGTTTACTAAATCCTAAGATAGAACAAGGAAGATTACTAAACTCTAAGAAAGGACTAGAAAAACTACTAATTTCTGAAAAAGACTACTAAACCCTAAAAAGGACTAAAAGACTACTAAACTTTAAGAAAGAACTAGAAAGACTACTAGTTCCTAAAAAAAGAACTAGGAAGACTAGCAAATCCTAAGAAAGAACTAGAAAGACTCCTAAATTCTAAGAAAGAACAAGGAAGACAGCTAAACGCTAAGAAAGAACAAGAAAAACTACTAATTCCTAAAACAGGACTAGGAAGGCTATTGAATACAAAGAAAGAACTAGGAAGACTAGTAAATCCTAAGAAAGAACTAGAAAGACTAACAAACCCTAACAAAGGACTAGGAAGACTAGTAAATCCTAAGAAAGGACTAGGAAGACTATTATACCCTAAAAAAGGACTAAAAGATTACTAAACCCCAAAAAAGAACTACAGAGACTAACACATCCTAAGACAAGACTAGGAAGACACCAAACCCTAAAAAGGGTCTAGGAAGACTATTTAACCCTAAAAAAGAACTAGAAAGACAACAAAACTCTTAAAGAGGACTAGGACGACTACTAAACCCTAAAAAAGAAATAGGAAGACTAACAAATCCTAAGACAGGACTAGAAAGACTACCAAGCTCACAAAAATACTGCAGAAGCTTTTAAAAAAACAATCTAGAAATATTAGAAATAAACCTAACAGGATATGGTAAAAGATAAATGGTTGCCATAGATGAGTGCTGGAGTGGAGGGGGAAGAGGATTGAATTCCAAATTTTGATTATAATTTAAATATTTAATGAGCTTTCATCGATGTCTTTTTTTCTTGCTGATAAGTTTTAAAAACAATTTTAGAAAAAATGTATCTCTTCTTTTCAATTCTTTGATCAAATATTTGTTTAACATTTAAAAAAGGTTTCATCGTCTTAAATTCTCGCTTTGGTGTTTTATAGACGTCTGCCTTTCTCTATATTTTCAGGATAATATTTTCAACCAGGACTCATAAATAATTCAAACTGTCAACAGAAAAGATTTTAGAAGTTACACTTCTATAGAAAGAAAATGAAGGCTGAAGAGCCTCCTACTGTAAAGGGAATCTGGAGAGAAACCCTAGAACCTGGAGACTGTAAACTATAAAGAACCCTATAAACCTGGAGACTGTAAACTGTATAGAACCCTAGAACCTGGAGACTGTAAACTGTATTGAACCTTAGAACCTGGAGACTGTAAACATATAGAACCCTAGAACCTGGAGACTGTAAACTGTATAGAACCTTAGAACCTGGAGACTGTAAACATATAGAACCCTAGAACCTGGAGACTGTAAACTTTATAGAACCCTAGAACCTGGAGACTGTAAACTGTATAGAACCCTAGAACCTGGAGACTGTAAACATATAGAACCCTAGAACCTGGATGCTGTAAACTATATAGAACCCTAGAACCTGGAGACTGTAAACTATATAGAACCCTGGAACCTGGAGACTGTAAACTGTATAGAACCCTTGAACCTGGAGACTGTAAACTATATCGAACCCTGGAACCTGGAGACTGTAAACTGAATAGAACCCTAGAACCTGGAGACTGTAAACTGTATAGAACCCTAGAACCTGGAGACTGTAAACTGCATAGATGAGACTGTAAACTGATAGAACCTTAGAACCTGGAGACTGTAAACTGTATAGAACCCTAGAACCTTGAGACTGTTTCCTGCCAAACCATTATTTTACTCTTCACTTTAAAAATAGAACTTGACATTTTTATCTTTATTATTCTCCGACTTTAGTTCAGAACATTGATTTCAAGTTTACTTCCAACTTGTACTAAAACACTGTACAAAGTACGTGTACAGTACAACTATACAGTTTAAAGGACAATTACATATAGTACAGAGTACACAACCCCATGGTACACAATTTTAAATAAGTATAAATAGTACACAGTACAGCATGGAATCACTATGTGTACTTTTACAGACAAAGTTCAGTGCAAAGCCAGAAAAAAAATATTAAAATAGTTTTTGTTTGAAATGACAATAAAGATTTAATTTTTTGTAGCAGATTTATAATTTTTAAAAACGAGCAATGAAGCTTTGGAAGAACCTATTACCTATAAAAATCAGTAATTGGTAATTCCTCTCCGAAAAACGGCTATTTTCACTGTTTTAGACCACTGTGAAGTGTACTGCAATTTTTGGCGAAACATAAACAAAACTGAGTTTGTTTTCATTTCTCCCTGAAACTGCAAACGAAGAAATGAGTAATATCTTGCGGTTATTAATTTTATTGTATAAAAGCTTTGCTCTACTACAGAGTGATCCAATAAACATGGGAATTCAGTGACGAATTCGATATTGTCTTTTTGAATAATTCTTTGATTTTGTATAGTGATATCTACTGAGAAAGCTGTAATCTGTATGAGTTTCGTCTGCTATGTTCACATTTTGTTTGTTTATGTTTTGACTGCATACGGTTATAAAACAAGAAAATTGCAGTGTACAGACAGAGTAAACTTGTTCGTCTTCACTGTTCATCTTGCGGAGACATTATAAACACATATTTACAGCCATTTACCCTTTTCATAAAATAAACTCTAGCAGACACGATAATATTAAGGCTTTGGAAATTAGGTACTACAAGGTCAAAATGCCAAATACAAAAAATTATAAACATTGGTTTAATCTTTTTGAATATAATTATCGTTTTGGTATAGATTAGACATTTTTCACATAGAAAACAATATAGAAATATAATATAAACATTTGGTATAGATTAGACATTTTTCACATAGAAAACAATATAGAAATATAATATAAACATCTCAGATTTATGGAGCCTACAAAAGTCAAAATAAAAGCATGATTTAAAAAGAATCAAAAAACAAAAATAAATTTATTGATTTATTATTCTCTATTCCTTACTCTATTTTCAAGAACAAATTTGCATGCTTTGTAAAAAAAAATCTATTAATCTATTTTGTTTACGTTTCTAAAGACAAAAAATGTCAGAAAAAGCAAAAAAGAAGCTGCCTGATTCAGATATTGAAAAAAATTTAGGATTTGAGGTAAAAGAACACAGAAGACGACATTATATTTCAGCATCCCAAAAATATTCTTCCTTGTAATATGCTTCCAGAGGCGTACACAGGGAGGGACTATGGGGGCTCAGCACCCTCCCTTGGATGCGTAAAATGTATAGTTTTCAGATGGTTTTCATGCCCCCCACCCCCTGGATAAATTTACGTGTACACCCGGTCCCTATATGCTTCCCTATAAATAAAACAGTGTATTTATTCATGTTGATATGTTATACGCAAGGAAATAAAATCTTAAAATAGTCCCTTATAAGCCATAATTTCAGTATTCTCAAAAGCCACTTTAAAATCTTTATGTAATCAAACACATATTGTAAAAGTTTCGAGTAAGAAAGGCAAGGGGAAAAATTCCTCTAATAAAACCCGGGAAATAACAAATAAACCCGGGTAAAAAGTTCAAATTTCCAGACAAAATGCAACTTTCCAGGAAACCACAGGACTTTTTTTAAGGCAAAATTTTAGGACTTACTCCGAAAAAAAATTCACTTTGAGGTGGTTAATAGCCCATTCTCAACCCCGTTTAAATGTAAAAAATGGTATAATAGAGTGTTACAGGGTTAACCACAAAGGATGGGACTTCAGGCGTCTATACGAAATTTATTTAATCTTTTTTCTGACATTCATGAATCCTTGCAGTTTTTACATTTTTTAATTCGTTACAAAATCAAAAGTACTTTTTTCTGTAAAACCTCTAAATATTAAATACATCGAAAGAATTTATGAAATGTCTTGAAAAATTTTCATTGGGTTTTATACTATTTTACGTAAATCTCGGTGTTTGCGAAAATAAATAAATAGCCATGAATATGCGGGAACAGCTTTAAAGAGCTCTATATAATCATTTACTCAAAAAAACAAAATATCTGCAATATTCCATTATCAGAAAATGAAGAATGCGAGATTTGATAAATTCTTTTGATGTATTTAATATTTAGAGTTTAACTGTAGTACATTCTGTACATTCATATTCGCGAAGATTCGTGCATTGTTGGCAACCCTGTATGCTTTATAATTGGTAAATGATCAAGAACGGATTAAGTCAACTAAAGGGACTGTAAGCGTAATTTCTAGTAGCCCTCCATGCACAGATGCGATCATGTCCGATTGAAATCGCTACCCTTGAAATATGTGCTTTTTTAGGCTTAAAAGTTTATAATTCTGATAATTCCTACATGTTATCCTGCAGTAGTAATGCGCAAGTCACTTTTGTAGAGAACCCAAAATTGAAGTTGAGCAGCTTTTTGGGGAACAGCTGTGCATCCGGCAATTTTACACTAACATTTTTAAGTTTATAACAACCGGAGTTTTTAGTATTTAACTCATTTTATTTATGCATAAATTAGTGTATCTTATTTCTAGAAAATTGTTAATTTATTTAATTTAACAATTGAGTTCTGAATTGGTCGGTGAGGCTTTGAATTAGCGTAATATGCTCAAACATATTTATTTGTCAAGGAGTACAGGCTTTGATCTATACATAGTATTAATCAAACCAACATAGAGGGCACTCAGGTCATGAGATTCTTTCAACAATGCCCTCACCCCTCCCCTCCCTTCTCCTCCTCCCTCCCCCCTCCACGCCTAATGATCTATAAACCATTCCATACCTACAGTCAATAAACAGTCAACATTTCAGTCCTGCGGTTTATTTACATGTGATATAAGGTTTTAATACAGGGTTATCCACAAAAGACTTCAGAGACGACTGTGCGGATTTTATACCGTTTGTTTCCTTATATATACGATTACCTGCAACTGTAAATTTATTTATTTCATTGTCAAGTCATTAAATAAGTTATAAATAGACTAAATTCTACGCAGACAGCAGAATTATACGTTGGAATCATATTATTTCAAAAATTTCAGGTCGTCTTTACAGTCTCATCCTTTGTGGGTAACTATGTTTTTAGAAACTAGTTTTAATCAACATGTACGTACGATACTAGCTTTAAAACCCAGCGTTTATTATTTATTCAATTAAAAGGAAATTATATACAAGGTGTTCCATGAAACATAACAGTTAGTGAATAGTTTAAAATGTCTTCTTCCATAATTTGTTTCGTTGTTTGATCCCAAAGAGAATAATAAGAAATATTAAATGGCAGTCATATTACAGTAAAATGGATTTCATAGTAAAATATATTTGAGTAACAGATCTTTTTAACGAAATAAACTGCAAAAAGTCTAAATACAGTATATGGAAGAAGACATTCAAAAATATACATCAATTTTCATGTTACGTGGGACACCCTGTACCAAAAAACAGATGCATGTGTAAACTGATCTTAGTTTGTTATTTTTGAGTGGGTACAAAATACATAATTTTCAAAACACCTTTTCAAAATATCTAATTTTTAAAACACCTAATATGAAAACCTCTAGGGCACAAAACCAGGGAACAGGAATAAAGGGAAAGGAAATGGCGCTGGTCCGGCAAGAGAAAGCCAGTCGCACTGCTTTGCAGACCAGTACAGTAAACTTACAAACACTCTTCTGGTACAGACACACAACATGACTGCAGTCAAGGAAATTGTAGAACAATGTCGTCGATTATAATTAAACTTGAATAACGAGTAGTTTATTGTAAACTTTAATAAAATTATATTCTTTGTATGAAAATATTTGGCTTTATAGTGTTGACTTAAATATGTAAATAATATATTACATGTATAATAAACATATGTTTAAGTAAACAATTAACAATAAACAAATGTACTCTCCTAGACTGTACAAATCCCGAGATTCTTACGTACTGTATAAACCTACAGTACAAACCTTTGGTACTAAATAGATGTTTTGAAAATTAGGCGTTTTGACATTAATTGTATATTGGATATACTCTGGTTCTTCAGGATGAGGATGAAGAGACTAGATTGCAGAGAGAACAAGAGGCGGAGATTCAGAAGAACAAGGCAAGGCAGGCGTTCTTAGAGAACATGTACGTTCTTATTGCCATGGTTCTCATCGTTGTTCTCGCCGTTGTTACAGTTGTTCTCAAGGCTCTTCTTTTCACTGAGGAACAGATTGTTACATTTATCCCACTTCAACAACAGGTATTTAAACTTACTCCGGGGTTTTCCTTGGTTAGAGTAGAACCTTACTCCGGGTTTATCCTTGGTAGGAGTAGAACCTTACTCCAGGTTTATCCTTGGTAGGAATAGAACCTTACTCCGGTTTTATCCTTGGTTAGAATAGAACCTTACTCCGGGTTTATCCTTGGTAGGAACAGAACCTTACTCCAGGTTTATCCTTATTAGGAGTAGAAACTTACTCTGGGTTTTTCCTTGGTAGGAGAAGAACCTTACTCCGGGTTTATCCTTGATAGGAATAGAACTTTACTTCAGGTTTATCCTTATTAGGAGTAGAACCTTACTCCAGGTTTATTCTTAGTAGAAGGAGGAACTTACTCCAGGTTTATCCTTATTTGGAATAGAACCTTACTCCAGTTTTATCCTTGGTAGGAGTGGAACCTTATTCTAGAGTTTCTCTTATTAGGAGTAGAACCTTACTCCGGGTTTACCCTTATTAGGAGCAGAACCTGACTCCAGGTTTATCTTGGGTAGGAGTAGAACCTTACTTCAGGTGTATCCTTGTTAGGAGTGGAACCTTATTTTAAAGTTATCCTTTGAAGGAGTAAAACCTTACTCCAGGTTTATCCTTGGCTAGTAGAACCTTACTCCAGGGTTATCCTTGGTAGGGGTAGAACCTTTCTCCAGGTTTATCCTTTGAAGGAGTATAACCTTATCCTTGGTAGAAGTAGACCTCTACTCCAGCTTAATAAAACTACTGTTCCAGGTTCGAAGTTCTATTAAGTATGCCGGAAACGGATATATCCCCTGCAACGGGTTTGTTCCTACTCCGACTGGTTGTGATTATGAACCTTATCAAGTTAATATGCCACGGCCTTACTAGAGAAACAAGACAAAGTTATCCCTGAGAGAAGCTATATATTCTAAATATTTATAACAATAAAAAACAGATATTGTGAAATCCACAAAAATATTTAATTATAGTTTCATTCTTTTCACAACATTGATTTTGAACTCTAGGCTTTTAAATCTAGTTTAACTTGTGTATCCTAAATAAATCATGTAGAAATAACATGTATCCAGTATACAGTATCCAGTATACAGTATACAGTATACAGTATACACAGTCTATTTTTTCCTCTTTCTTGTAAAATGTGATCCGTATCTTGTGTATCCTATATCCTGTGTATAATATATCCTATGTATCCTATATCCTGTGTATTCTATATTCTGTGTATAATATATCCTATGTATCCTATATCCTGTGTATTCTATATTCTGTGTATTCTATATCCTGTGTATTCATTATCCTGTGTATCCTATATCATGTGTATCCTACATCCTGTGTATCTTCTGTACCCTGTGCACACTATATCCTGTGTATCCTGTATATTGTGGGATGTATATCATGTATCCCTCATCCTGTTTATCCTGTATCCTTTGTATAATATATCCTATGTATCCTATATCCTGTGTATTCTATTTTCTGTGTATCCTATATTCTGTGTATACTAAACCTGTGTATCCTATGTTCTATGCATCCTATATCCTGTGTATCCTATATTCTGTGTATCCTAAACCTGTGTATCCTATTTCCTGTGTATCCTCTATCCTGTGTATCCTATATCCTGTGTATCCTATTTCCTTTGTATCCTATATCCTGTGTATCCTCTGTATCCTGTGTATCCTGTATTCTGTGTATTCTATTTCCTGCGTATCCTATATCCTGTGTATCCTCTGTATCCTGTGTATCCTATATCCTGTGTATCCTTTATCCTGTGTATCCTATTTCCTGTGTATCCTCTGTATCCTGTGTATCCTATATCCTGTGTATCCTATATCCGGTGTATCCTATATCCGGTGTATCCTATATCCGGTGTATCCTATATCCTGTGTATCCTCTGTATCCTGTGTATCCTGTATCCGGTGTCTTGTATTTAGTCTATCCTATGTAGTATGTTTCCAATGTATCCTGTGTATCCTGTGTATCCTGTGTTTCCAATGTATCTTGTGTATCCTGTGTATCCTGTGTATCTTTTGTATCCTTTGTATCCTTTGTGTCCTGTGTATCCCATGTATCCAATAAGTCCAATGTATCCTTTGTATTCAGTATCCTGGGCATACTATATCCGATATAATGTGTCTTGTATATCCTATGCGGGATATAAATCCTTTGTCCTCTATCCTGTGTATCCTGTGTATCCTGTGTATCCTGTGAATCCTATGTATCCTGTGTATCAGCTGTGTATCTTGTGTATCAGCTGTGTATCCTGTGTATCCTATACACTGTGTATCCTGTGTATCCTGTGTACCTTGAAGAGTAGGAGTTGGGTGGGAAATAATGATAATTAAATTTCCCCATTTAGTAGATTGAATATATGTAAACGGATAGGAAACAAGGCGGGGCGGGTAATAGAATACATTTTTCATAATTAGCTTGCACAATTTATGCACATTGAAGATGTTTCTTCATATCAGTCCTTTTTACCTTTATAATGCACAACACTCTCAAGGGTTGAGAAAAATATTAGGTCCCGGCGAGTTCTATCAAAATGCTAATTCCTTCAAGTGAGTTTAAAATTTGTATTTCCTGGATACCAATATATCCATATTGTAACATTTTTGTATCCATCTATCCATAGTTATTTTTATGGATAATCCATATAAGATTGGGTTATATTTTTATTTTTAAGATGATATATTCTTTTTAAAGTTTCGAGTCAGGTAAGATTTAATATGATGTGGGGCACCCTGTTTAAAAAAATACATAAAAATTGCTGAAAAGCTAAAATTTGTAGAACTGGTAATAGAAAATAATACTGGTCACGTGATTTCCGTCTGTATCACGTGACCACGATACTGCACTGCCATTGACTGAAGTTCTGGTGACATGTTCTAGACTATACGGACTATATGTAATTACATTATCAATTTTATCTATTAAAAATGCAAAATAAAAAATTATAAAAGGAGCAAACCTGAGATTCTCAGGCTCCTGTGGGGTATCGTTGTTTTCAGATTGGTTGCGTATTTCTTGAATATGATCTGTTTAATACTACAACTTTTATACAAAATTGCATGTATATGAATTTTCGTATACATTTGACACAGTTTTTTTTATCAATTTCTCGAGACAGGAAAATCAGATACAAGGATGTAATGCAAGGAAAGTTATTTCAGAAGTGTACACATCTTTTGTCCTGCAGTGTACTGTCTCTGGGCGTCAATGTAAACACAAGACGGATGTCGAAGACTGACATGGGATCCATCTTTCACATAAAAAAATCAATGAAATATTCTGGTCATAGGAAACTATTATGTGAATTATTAAAATTATCAAAATTTAATGCTTTTAACCTCCTCGGATACTAAACGAACACTGATGCATCTATTCTTGTTTACAAAGTCCGCCCAGAGAGAACTTGTTTCAATGTGTACGCAGAGTATACACGACCGCTATTAACTTTCCTTGCATTACACCCTTGATCAGATAGATGTTTTATATTTATGATTCAACGCCTGAGATTCTTAGGTTTCAGTCTACTACCCCTTTCATTTTTCCTTAACAGTCCCTTTAACTTGGAACAAAGAAACTCAGATATGTAAGGCATACACACATTAATATGCTCTTGAGTGTCCATCTCTATCTAACATCTTTTTAGTAAATCTTTATTTGCAAAATAATGATAAATGATGACAACAAAAATAATGATTCGGTCAAACAAAAATCTTGAATATTGAATCTAAATTAAATTATCATTATCGATTATATTTAGAATCCATTAACAGACTAGTTTTCAGTTTATATATATATTCTATCCTGTCTATCCTGTCTGTCCTGTCTGTTCTGTGGTAGAAATTAAATTATTTACGAAGAATTTAAAGTGTAAGATTTAGGGGATTCTAAGAGGTGTCACTTTGAATCTCTGTCTAGATAGTTGCAAATACAAAATCCATCAACCGAAAAAGATTTCGCAAAATTTGTAGAACGTGTAGAACGTTTATCACGATTATATTCATTTTGTTTACACCGAGATATATACTAAAAAATAGTTTCTGGATATACCTGAAACGTGCAAAAGGTTCTCGACATTTTTTGATTGTTTAAAAACAATAAGAGGTTTCCTTTGACAGGCTGCTGCATTGAAAATTATTCATACTTGGCGTTTAGTAAAACTGGTAGAGTGAGACCCATAGACCTGTGAAATAGGAAAATGACAGTTTAGCAATCTTATTTGTATTTTATGTGAAAGAAAAAGACTACAATTAAGCAAGTTTTAATGTATTTGATTTTGTTAGAGAAAGTAAACAGTCCTACAGTTTTTTTAATGGGTCTGTGCACACTGCACAATTGCTGTATTTTACAATATAAAATCATTATTTTGAGTCTTTCTACTCCACAGTTTTTTGGGTTTCACCGTACTACTGAAAAGCTAAGAAGCAGGAATAATGACATAAAGTCCTTGAAAAATGCAAACTGACTCGGCCATTTTCTACCGGAAGTCTTTATTCACTTTACATCCGTTTCTCGTAAATCCTTCTCAGTACTTAGGACGGATCTACATGAATTATTCCTCTAGGTTCTGCTAGTAGTCGGACTATATCCTTCAAGGGTTGGTACTCCGGGTGCTGGGATGGATAGAAGGGATTATATCTCTGAAGGTTTAGAGGAACAGGAAGGAGCTCTTGCATCACACTGTGATGTGTTATCAGCGCGCTCAGGGTTGGATGTGTCTTAAGGAATCCCTGAAAAAAAATGTTCTAACCGCAGAGCTCGGTCCCTTAGTTTACTAGCAAGGAATATGTGATACCATGAAGGCGGGGTTAACCGGGTCCACCTCACCATATTGGCAACGCTAGGTTGATTTTTATAATTAAAGAAAATCAGTTTTGTTTCTTTTGGTTTGCTAAAAAATTTTAAATACTATTTAAATGGAATACCGTATGTTTAGGATGCATAATCATATGATGGGGCGGACCGGGTCGACCCATCCTCCATTGTATTCAAAACTCCTTGGTTAATAGCCATGTAGCAGTTTATGTAAACAATCTAATCCTTTTGTGCATTTCAATATGCTTAAAGTGACTGTAGAGCTAATTTTAATATGGTTAAAGTGACCCCAAAACTAATTTCAATATGTTCAAAGTGACTTTAGACCTACTTCAATATATCTAAAGTGACTTTAGACCTAATTTTAATATGTGTAAAGTCACTTTAAACCTAATTTCATATGTTTAAAGTCACTTTAACCCTAATTTCAATATGTTTAAAGTCACTTTAAACCTAATTTCAATATGTTCAAAGTGACTTTAGACCTACTTCAATATGTTTAAAGTCACTTTGGACCTAATTTTAATATGTTTAAAGTCACTTTAAACTTAATTTCAATATGTTCAAAGTCACTTTAAACCTAATTTTAATATGTTCAAAGTGACTTCAGACTTACTTCAACATGTCTAAAGTAACTTTGGACCTAATTTCAATATGTTTAAAGTCACTTTAGACCTAATTTCAATATTTTTAAAGTCACTTTAGACCAAATTTCAATATGTTTAAAGTCACTTTAAACCTAATTTCAATATGTTTGAAGTCACTTCATTAAACCTAATTTCAATATGTTTAAAGTGACTATAGACCTAATTTCAATATGTTTAAAGTCACTTTAGACCTAATTTCAAAATGTTTAAAGTGACTTTAGACCTAATTTCAATATGTTTAAAGTCACTTTAGACCTGATTTCAAAAAGTTTAAAGTCACTTCAGACCTAATTTCAATATGTCTAAAGTAACTTTGGGCCTAATTTCAATATGTTTAAAGTCACTTTAAACTTAATTTCAATATGTTCAAAGTTACTTTAAACCTAATTTCAATATGTTCAAAGTGACTTCAGACTTACTTCAACATGTCTAAAGTAACTTTGGACCTAATTTCAATATGTTTAAAGTCACTTAAGACCTAATTTTAATATTTTTAAAGTCACTTCAGACCTAATTTCAATATGTTTAAAGTCACTTTAAACCTAATTTCAATATGTTTGAAGTCACTTCATTAAACCTAATTTCAATATGTTTAAAGTCACTTTAGACCTAATTTCAAAATGTTTAAAGTGACTTTAGACCTAATTTCAATATGTATAAAGTAACTTTGGACCTAATTAAAATATGTTTAAAGTCACTTTAGACCTAATTTCAATATGTTTAAAGTCACTTTAGACCTAATTTCATTATGTTTAAAGTCACTTTAGACCTACTTTCAATATGTTTAAAGTGACTTTAGACCTAATTTCAATATGTTTAAAGTCATTTTAGACCTAATTTCAATATGTTTAAAGTCATTTTAGACCTAATTTCAACATGTCTAAAGTCACTTTAGACCTAATTTCAATATGTTTAAAGTCACTTTAGACCTAATTTCTAGGGCCCTTTATTTTATAGAGTGACAATCACAACAGTACCGTTTAATTAAAGATGATTGATTTAATCTTTTTTTATCGTGTTTCTCTTAAAAATTGGTGTGCGCATATATGATGCAGAGACAAAAAAGAAAGGTTTTAGAATTTAACACGTTTTAAGATAGAAAACTGCAATATCTTCCTTACTGTTACTCAGATAGAGGATTCAAGGGTATCATTGTCATCGGAAATGCCATTCCTTAAATGGAGGCTCGGTTGAATTTCAGCCTACAGTCCCTTTAGGCTAGTATTTATTAGTGACTCGCTTAGTCCGAGCGCTACGGCTAGGTTTAGGGGCTAGGCAGCCTAGAAGTGAAATTGACATAAAAGTAGCGACCTAATATCAATCAATAAAACTGCTGTTAAAATATTTGTATGTATGTCTTAGGATTGATTAACGATTTAGAAAAGTTTTTGTTAAACAATTATATCTCTATTAATTATATCAACAAATAATTTCAAAAAAATCTTTTTTTAAATTTGACTCCTACCTTGATTTTAAAACCTTCCCCGGTTTTGAGGATTATGTAATGAGCGATCCCATCAGATTGGAACACCTCCGGAACTCTTAGAGAGAGTGCCAAACTTCCTGGAACACTTTCACTTTCACGAACCATGAATGAACCAACAGGTTCCTTGTTCAGCACAAGCATTGCAACCTCCCTAAAACAAATTATGATTTTAATATTTCTGGANACCATATCGGATTATGTTAGATAGTTGCAATATCCCTGGAACTTAATAATATAGTTGCAACCTCCCTGGAACATTATAATATAGTTGCAACCTCCCTGGAACATTATAATATAGTTACAACCTCCCTGAACTTAATAATATAGTTGCAACCTCCCTGGAACATTATAATATAGTTGCAACCTCCCTGTATCTTAATAATATAGTTGCAACCTCCCTGGATCATTATCATACGCTTAGTTGCAATCTCCTTGCCTTGCAACATTATAATATAAATGCAACCTCCAGCTGACATCAGATAGACTTTTAGTTTTTATTTGGTTTTATAGAACAAGCATTTGACATAAATGCAATGATTCTGCAGATTGTGCAGACAGTCAAAACAAATCTTGCAGAAGACAAAAATGTTCAATGTTCATATCAATTCTTTTTAAAAGGAGTGTTCGCTAAAACGAAAAATAATCGCGTTTGGTCACTACTAATCTTACTTCTATCTCTTGCGTTAATAGACGCAACAGATAGAAGTAGTAGCCATCAAAAGCGATTTTTTTTCGCCGTAAGTCTATACCCCTTTTTATTTTTCGCGAACACTCCCTTTAAATATAAAATTGTTAGATCATCTACATATATACTTTGATTGTCTGTATGTTTGTCTTACCCAGGGAAGGATTATGGCTGGTCCGAAAAAAAAACGTTCGAAATTTATTGCTTTTGAAAATGAGTCAATTTATATAAAAAAAAATCTGCGAAAATTTGAGAACAATTATAAATGGCGACTAAGGAAAAGGTCTAAGGAAAAGTTTTAGTGGGAAAGGGGCGCAAAACATTCTTAATGCATACTCTTTTAATAAAGAAAAAAAAACTTCCTAAGAATTTAAACAAGATCAAAAATAATTCTGGACACCCTGTATTTCGTGTTTCATGCATACATGTCAAAACTAAACCTTAAACCTACCTCGGAACGTTGGCTCGGAACCAACCAGAGTCAGATCCGTCTGAAGCTTTTAAAGTTCTAGAACTAAACTCTCGTTTTGAGTAGCGTTTCTCCGGACAGGACCCAGAGGTAAAGCGAAAAGTTTCCGAGTTCCTTGGTTCGGACGGATTAGAACTTGAACCCGAACTCGGAGAGTTTGATCTGGGAAAGTGTGAGTGTAGCCGGGGACTCGGAGAACTTGAATCTTGGATCCCGGATCTAGTCTCCGGGCAAGGGGATCCGGATCCACTTGAGACCCCGCTACTATCCGTCCCAACCTCACTGTAGTACCTGCTCTCAGTGCTCAGCTCCTGAAACCAATCAAAATTCCAGCTTGGAGAGAATTGGTCTTTTCAAAATTTTAAATATCTAGATTTTTAAGTTTAAACATCGCATCCGTCAAAAAAGTTTTGTCTGCTTATATTGTCCTTGGATACTAACCTGGTAGGACCCGGAGTCTCCACTACTCTCTGAACTACAGTGTTCAGTTTCTACAGTTTCATGATTAGCTCTGGGTGGTCCTGGTTCTTCAGATTCTCTAGGTTGCGTGATAGATCTGATTCTGATGTCTCTCTCTCCTACCATATCTACACTTGTCTCCTTCTTCTAAGCATTTACATAATATTATTAAATGACAGGTGTTAATATCTTCCTAACGAGCTAAATCAATCAAGCTTAACAATATTAAACGAACATCTTTTCTCCTTTAATATTTCTATTGATTGCACCATGGACAATGTCAATCAACAGTATTCTAAGATTTTCTGCTCAGGACTGCTTCGTCTAAACGCAGCGAGAAGTGTCTGATTTCATTTTTGCATTAATAATACACGTTTACCCAACCATCATGCTCTATTCGATATTTCTTATACTTTTATTCTTTTACTTTATCACTCATTAACTCACTAACTGAATTATTACTCATTTAAAATCCTAACTTATTCACTCACTCACTCATTTAGTTACTTCATTTACTTTAGCACTCATTCACTCACTTAATCACTTATTACTCATTTACTTCCTTATCTATTCACTCACTCAATCACTTATTACTCATTTACTTCCAAACCTATTCACTCACATATTCTTTTATTTTTATCACTCGTTAACTCACTTAATCACTTATTACTCATTTACTTCCTAACCTATTCACTCACTCATTCTTTTACTGTATTACTCATTAACTCACTCACTTACTTATTACTCATTTACTTCCTAATCTCTTCACTCACTCATTCTTTTACTTTATCACTCATTAACTCACTCACTCACTTATTGCTCATTTACTTCCTAATCTCTTCACTCACTCATTCTTTTACTTTATCACTCATTATCTCACTCACTCACTTATTACTCATTTACTTCCTAACATATTCACTCACTCACTCACTCACTCACTTAGTCACTCATTCATTTACTTTATCACTCATTCACTAGTTTACTAACTCAAGTTTCTCACTTCCTTATTGACTTTGTCACTTATTTCTCAATCCTCATTCACTCAAACACACTATTACTCACCCTTCACACACCCCCATCTCACTCACACCCCCTCTCAAACAATAAACAACTCACTCAACTGTTCAATTAAAGTTTCCAAATTCTAAATTTGTCATCATACAGCGATAACCAGAAAACTCCGGAATAGAAAGAAAGAAAAAAATTTTCTTTTAATAGTCCAATTAGTATTTGAAACCGCAATTTTTTAGTGTAAAAAGACCCAATTCACTTAAATAATGATTTAATAAGTGTCCAGTAAAACTATCTGCTTTGTAACATCATCAAATACACTCAAGTATTGCTGTAAAGTCGTCTTCCTATTTCAGAGTTTTCTGGTTGTCACTGTTTATAAATAAACATATTTTTTAGATATTTTTTCTTGTACATTTCACACACAAAAAAACATAAAAAAAGCTATTTAAAAAGTTTACCTTGAAATTTGATATTTTTGGGTGAAAAGATCTGCTAGGTTGGGTTCCTTTAGAGTGGGAAGTAAGTCTTTCCGATGATAACTGATTATGCCGATCCTAAAGTATACATCTTTCAAAACGACTGGAAATTCTTAGAAGGGACGTAGTTTCAACTGATCCTTCATGCATAGAGTGGCATATCCGGTTCAAAAATGTGCTTTTTAAGCTTTATCCGTTTTTTATCTTGCAAACTGTTAAATTCTCACAATCTAAATGTTACATTGAAACCAAAGCTATATACATTATAATCTTTAATGAGACAAAAGTTTTAAAAGTGAATCGGATATGTCCCTCTGAATGTTGAATTTCGTTTTTCATGCCTCAAATCTATTCTCTTAATATTGAATTTCGTTTTTCATGCCTCAAATCTATTCTCTGAAATAAATATTTTTGGTTAGAAAAGGTTTGATTCTTTGCAACAAACTCTGATTTTTTAATCCCTATATCTTCACACCCCAATATATTTCAAACTATGAATTCTGTTGGATCAAAGAATCTAAGTTTGAAATATCAAAAATTTACGCCCTAAGATTGCAAAGATATAGGGGTTAGAACTCTTTTGGTCTGTGGCAAAAACTCAATTCCTTTGTTAAAGCTAGTAAATGTGCTACCAGAAAAAAATAGATAATACGACAATGCTTAAAAAATCTGAAAACTTAAAATTATCTTTGGAAATGGGGACCAAGCGCCTTCATTTTTAGAGTTAATTGAAATAATGAAGTATTGTGAAAAGTCACAAATCATCAAAATGGGTCTAGACTCTAGACTCTAGGCGTTATGCATTCATGCAATATATCATTCGATAAATTATTAGAGTTTTATGCAGTTTTTAAGAAAAATGAAAAGTGAAACTGAAATATTTTAAGTCGATAAAGTGATATGTATAGTAGTGAAAATTTAAGTAGTAAGTAAGTAATAATTTATGTATGAAAAATAACAAAATTAAGTGTTTAGGAGAAAATATTTAAAAACCTCTAAAGTAGAGGTTGTGGGAATATTTCCCCCCCCCCCAATTCTAAAAAAATATAAAAAATAGAAATAAAAGGAAAAGGAAAGGAAAGGAAAAGGAAAGGAAAGGAAAAGAAAAAGTTAATATTTATTGTTTACATTATATTTAATATAAACTAGTGGTGGATTGTTATTATCTACGACGATGAACTAACAACTTTTAGAAATATAAATGGTAGATTTATTTGTATTGTTTAAAAAATTAAAATAGGCTTTAATATGGGCTGTAAAAAATGTATAGGTTTTACGTAAAATGGGCATTTTTAGGCATCTTTTTAATTCGTGCCGATTGTTGACATCCTTTATGCTTTATTGTATCTTTTACTCTTTTTAATCTTTTTATTCTTTTCTTTGTAAAATCGTCTTTGCTTTCTTCGATTTTTTTGCAAACATATAGCATGTGTTAGAATTAATACATTTATATATTTAACATTCTTTGTTTTGATATCTATGGGAGGTAGACTTGAAACTGAATGGAATTAATAATTCAATTACTAACAATATGATTTTGCACAAATCCCTTAATCTTAAACAATGGGATCAGAGTTTAAATGGGGGGGGGGGGTTGTGTGGAGCATTCTTGAAGTACAGTGTTCCGCATTTAACATGATAATTACTAAATACATATCTGTCTTTTCCCGTTTATTTGATTGTATCCAATAAACGTCAAAAAGGCTAAACCGAGAGTATTTTTGGTAAGACCTTACAAACCCAACAGAGGGAAGGTTTATGTCCAGTCAGAATTCTAAAACTGTTTTCCTCCCAAAATATCGATTTATAAGATTAAGGATATCACCAACAGAAAAATCCGCAAAACTTTTCATTATTATTTTTTAAGTTTTGAAATAGTAACAAACGTTCAGATAATTACTAGACGTTTATTCAGAGCGCCCTGTACTGGGTTGCTCATAAAGGATGAGAATTTAAAGTCAACCTAAAACTTAACAAATATTTTAAAAACTGTCGGAAAAACGTTTCAATAAATCTGTAAATGTTCTAATACTTATTTGTGTCTCCTTATATCCTGATAGTACCTGGAGTTTAGTAGCGTAAGCAACCCTGAAAGCAGTTCCAACCACGGAATTTAAATCCTCTGCTACGGAAGAGGCCGGAGTCCTGAAGGTGTGACAGTGTTGAAGATGCGCAGGAGAACCCTGTTCTCTGGCAAGGAAAGAGAACAAACAGCAGGACGGATCACAGGTCGCGTAACTGATCCGTTTCAGGATATGGTTCATGAGCGGAGCTCCTGTCAGTAGGGAAACCTGTATCCCGGAGAGAGAAACTGAGAGTTGTACGTCCTTCCCCTGCAGATATCCGGCCTGAAAGTATGCAGAGTCAATCCAACAAATATATATTTCTTGAGTCAATCAACAATCAAACAGTCATGGATTTAACAAACATAGCTAGGATTTCATAGTGACGTATACTGTTTAAAGGGACTGTCAACCATGTCGGTTTTTCTTCCTTTTTTCTGCAACATAAATCTGCAAATAACTTTTATAAAGGATCGAACGCAAAAAATCAATTCTCAGCAAAAAAGGGGTAACTTCATAATTTTTGTTTAGTCAAAGGTTTCGGGGGACCATTGTGAAACTCCGACAGACTATTTAAAGAGCCTGTTGTCGTTATTTTAAGTGAACTTCCATTTAAAAAGAGGCATGCCCAATTCTCAATTTTACTTTTTTAACCGTTATCTCATAAATAATTTGGAAGATTTTTCTAGGTTTAAAAGTGAATAATTTTGATAATTTCTAAATTGTTTCTCAGTCAAGAAATGTGAAAATACCTTTTGAGGAGAATAAAATAGATATTTATTAATGTTTCAAAATTAATGCCGCGTAGAATAAAGACGACTGATACAACCGCGTTTTTATTGGAGAACACTGTATTTAAATGTTAGAACCTGGTATAAAGTGTATTTCTAATCTCTATGGTTGATCTATATTCTCACATATATATATATATATATATATATATATATATATAGTTTAATATTTGACAAATAGACCCTGACCATATCGGATTATGTTAGCATACTTAACTCTAGTTATACTACAGTCTTAACAGGGTTACCCACAAAGGATTGTGTTAGCATACTTAACTCTAGTTATACTACAGTCTTAACAGGGTTACCCACAAAGGATGAGACATCAAAGACGACTGTATTAACTGTATTCCATTTTATTTTTCACAATCTAAGTACTTGTTTAAACTCTAATTTTCTAATCACTGTTTTACAACTTTGATCCAGCAGAAAACATAGTTTGAAATGTCAAGGGTTAACGGCAGTAATGTTCAATGTACATTGTACATAGTATATTGTAAATGTGTGCATTGTATATTATTTGTACATTGTACATTCTACATTCTACATTGTACAATGTACAATGTGAAAACGTGCATTGCACATTACAATATACAATTATTTTATATGTGTACAACGTACTATATGTATAATGTTCTATATGTACAATGTACTATATGTACAATGTACTATATGTACAATGTACTATATGTACAATGTACTATATGTACAATGTACTATATGTACAATGTAGAATGTACAATGCAGAATGTACAATGTACACATAGTAAATTATACATATAGTACGTTGTACATATATAAAATTCTACATTGTGATGTACAATGCACATTTACGTTTAACAGTGTACATTGTACAATACAGGTCAATTCTGTAAAGAAAATTGTCTATTATCATGAAAAATGTAAATCATTCAGTTTAAAAATGACGTGATCTCCTAAGAATCTAACAAAGCATAATGTTCCAAGTAAGCATGTCATATGTTTGATAAATCAATGAGGTTCATTTTTTTAGAATAGATGACGCAAAATATGATACAGGGTTACCCACAAATGATGAGCTTTATATGACGCAAAATATGATACAGGGTTACCCACAAATGATGAGCTTTATATGACGCAAAATATGNATCTGAATATGGTTTAAGAAAACTATTGGAAACCCCTATATATTCCTACACCTGAATTTAGTTTAAGAAAACTATTGGAAACCCCTATATATTCCTACACCTGAATATGGTTTAAGAAAACCCCTGTATATTCCTACACCTGAATATGGTTTAAGAAAACCCCGGATGAATGGGGTTTGTTTTTGCATGAATTTAGTGCATGTTTCTGCGCATGCGGTTTAGTGTTTTGTACCCATGCAAAATATTTAAATTAATATAATCCACTGCGGGTTGGTCCCTGGCACGCTTTTTGTGTCTCTGGGTAATCGATACAGGCTAAATATTCAAAACATGTTCATCTGGATTATTCTTTACTCTAGCTCTACATACATCTATATATATAATCTATAAAGGCTAAATATTCAAAACTTGTTCATCTGGACTATTCTTTACTCTACTTACTATACTACACATCTATATATAATCTATACAGGCTAAATATTCAAAACATGTTCATCTGGACTATTATTTACTCTAGCTCTACATACATCTTTATATATAATCTATACAGGCTAAATATTCTAAACATGTTCACCTGGACTATTCTTTACTCTACATACTAAACAATACTTCTATATATTTGTAATCTCTGTATGTCCGATCATAACTTGGGAACCCCTGGACTGATTTGACTCAAGTTTTGATTACGGAACTCGGGAGATCCACGGGAATGTTTTACCGGTGCAATCGTTCAAGGGCGGGTAAAATAGCGGGCGGGAGTAACTTATAGTAACCTGGTCAGCGCTGGGTTCCCGAGCTAGTACTCTATCAAGAGACAGCTTATTTTACGGGTTACCGGCAAGGGCTGAGACGTAGAGATGATTTTACCATGACTTTATTACGACTTCATTACTGCGCTTTATCATAATATATTGAAACCTTAAGATTTGCATTTTCAGGTCGTCATAAATTAGTGTTATCCTTTCTGGGTAACCTGTACTGCACGTATCAAGCTTATAATTTAAAAATAATAGAAATATATGTTTTGGAAACCAGGAAACGAAACTTTGAAGTTAGATCTCCGTCAAAGTCTGCGATAGCCGCAGAAATTTGAAGAATTAAACACTTAGCAAGATATAAAAACCCCCCCGATATATTTTCTACAGTATAGATCAGATAAAGGTTCAAACTACTACTACACTACTATATGTGAATCAGACATAGCCCTCTCCAAGTGATAAAGGTTCAAAGGGTACTATATGTGAATCAGACATAGCCCTCTACAAGTGATAAAGGTTCAAAGGGTACTATATGTGAATCAGACATAGCCCTCTACAAGTGATAAAGGTTCAAAGGGTACTATATGTGAATCAGACATAGCCCTCTACAAGTGATAAAGGTTCAAAGGGTACTATATGTGAATCAGACATAGCCCTCTACAAGTGATAAAGGTTCAAAGGGTACTATATGTGAATCAGACATAGCCCTCTACAAGTGATAAAGGTTCAAAGGGTACTATATGTGAATCAGACATAGCCCTCTACAAGTGATAAAGGTTCAAAGGGTACTATATGTGAATCAGACATAGCCCTCTACAAGTGATAAAGGTTCAAAGGGTACTATATGTGAATCAGACATAGCCCTCTACAAGTGATAAAGGTTCAAAGGGTACTATATGTGAATCAGACATAGCCCTCTACAAGTGATAAAGGTTCAAAGGGTACTATATGTGAATCAGACATAGCCCTCTACAAGTGATAAAGGTTCAAAGGGTACTATATGTGAATCAGACATAGCCCTCTACAAGTGATAAAGGTTCAAAGGGTACTATATGTGAATCAGACATAGCCCTCTACAAGTGATAAAGGTTCAAAGGGTACTATATGTGAATCAGACATAGCCCTNATATATACGAATGTCTTGTTTTATTATATAGATATATATATATAAACCCTATTCACTTTTCCCACTTTTCAAACATGATAGATTTAAGTTTAATAAAATTTTCTCTTTTTCCTTGAACCACCTTCCACTTAGATTTAAAAGTTTTCAGGAAGTAAATAAGAAAAGTTCTACTCAGACCTTAGAAAAGTTTTAATGATAAAGATAGTTTTAAATGACACACAATCGAATCCTAAAGATACACTAGGTTACCGACATAGGATAAGACTGTTAAGACGACTTGGAACTATTCAAATATAACAATCCTATAGGGTTAAACTACGTCTTCAACTTTCAAGACAGTTTAAAGTTAATGGGAGTTATGAATTTATGGGAACAGTAAAAAAAGTCGTCTCCGAAATCTCATTTTTTGTGAATAACCCTGTATGGAGTGAGGTGGAAAAAAGATGCACTAAAAATAAAAAAATGATATTAATTAAATCCTAAAGTAGATATCTCTCATCTGTATCTATAGGGATCATCCTTCAATTCTGATAATCAGTCTCTCCTTTCTTGGAAGGGTTAACAAGGAAATTATAATGTTTCTCATCATCTCTATCAGATGCAACCAAAATACCTATCGCTGGCCAATCTTTTAAAGAAGGGGTGGAACAATGTATATTGATGGTACTAGGGGGGG